CCTGCCTCAGATAAAGGGATCCTGCCTCAGATAAAGGGATCCTGCCTCAGATAAAGGGATCCTGCCTCAGATAAAGGGATCCTGCCTCAGATAAAGGGATCCTCTAAACCCTAAACCCTAAACCCTAAACCCTACACCCTAAACCGTAAATCCTAAACCCTAAACACTACTTTTTTTAAATTTTACCAAAAAAGAGAATCCTAAGCTTTTTTTGGAAGCGCCCTACATCTTGGGATACTCAATTTCTCAAATCGCTAGATCTGAGCGATCCGACCGTAGTCGGATGGTCGGCCGTGGCAAGGCTTCCGGCGTCCGGGCCCATGGCGGCCCATGGTCCTCCGACCACTTGGCTCGAAGCTTGCCAAGAAGGACCGGTCATGTGCAATGTTGACCGTACTTCAGATGCCCGGCAGTCCGTTCTGCTACTCTCGGTTTGGCGGTTTCAGTCCAGTGCCAGGTGCCACGGTGAAGATCGGACTCTCGGATCAGGCCTGAGCTGCCCGGGCCGGGCCGCTGTCCGGCCGCACTTCAAGGCTTTCAAACCCGGAGCTACCCTATAACGTTTTTAAACTTCTCACTTCTCATGGTACCCCACCATTCGCCGCAGCTAAAAACATAATATACTGCATCCCTACCATGGGATTGAACATGAAATACACCCCCACCTTCCTATCTGAATGAACCGAATGAACTACCTACCCCTTGCCCTACCACCGCACGCGCTAGTTTGAGATTCTGACCACCCGATTATTTCATCCCAACATCCCCAAAGACCCCTTCAAAAGCCATATTTCAGACCGGTAGTATACTCTGTCCCCTAACAACGCAGTGGGATTCACAACTTTGTCCCCGACTACCCGTTCTTCAAAGACCCCAGTCCGGATATCTTGGGGGTGTTACCGCTGGTAGGGTCGGTGATTCTGGAGATGGAGAATGGAGAAACTGGCTGAGGGTGGGTATCTCTTTCAAAAAGTGGCTAGAACGAGGGAAAGGGGGGTAGAGATAGGCCGGAGGAGAGGTGGTTTGTCCTAAGGGGGTAGGGTGGTGGTAGGGTAGTATGCCATAGGGATGATCGCCTTGCACATTGCCGCTTTGCTCTCCTCTTCTCCTGTCCTGACTGCTGCTGTCTCGTCCTCAATCTTCACAAACTTCCTCTCGCTTCCCCCCTCATCCCCATCGTCCGTCCCCCTCCCGCTCTCCCCACTGCTCATTCACTCAAGCTCAACTGCCTCTCCTGCTTTTTCTTGCCCCTACTCCTTTTGCAGTTTCTTGAACGCTCTCCTGCACCACCTGCTTCTCCATCCAGTTCTGATTCTCAAAAACCTCAGAATATTGCATGATTGCATTGTTCTGCATTGTTCTGCTCCTGCTCCTCGTCCTCCACGTTCCTCATGCTAGTCTTGCTCTTTATGGCGACAGCTGTCAGTAATCCATTCAATATGATGCACCTCTCCTGCTTCTGATTCTGTCCACCCTCAAATCTCTGGTGTTGTATCTTTTATAGTCCCCTGCGTTCTCTTGACCGCCCCCCCCGCATACCCCAAACCCTTCTTGCTTCTGCTCCTTCTTGTCTCATTATCATTTTGCCCTCATTGCCTCGGCCGGCTTCCGCCTTGTGTTCTTGCTCATCCATATGTGCACGATCACCTATTACCCATGTCATGCTCAGGAACAAACACTTCTTCCTTCTTTAGCTTTCAAGTATCTCCACCCTCTTCGAGGGCTCGGGCTGAGTTGCCCACAGACGATCCTCATATGATATTCTCACCAACATTCTCGTCAAAACATGCTGATCACTCTGCTCGAAGTCCCAACAGAATCTTCCTCCATGACCTATCATATTGACCAGCTGATGGTACTGTGCAGATCTCACTCTATCTTATATGTCCTCTTCAAACAATCCAATGTCATGTCATTTCTTTGATTGAATGCCTCTTTAGATTCAAACTTTTTCTGTTCCTGTTTGCACTGGTTTAAGGCAGCTTGTTATGAATAGCATTCACCAGTGTTCTTGTACTTCTATCATTGCTGTTGATTATTCCACATGATTTGCAAGGCCCTGGGAATCCTGCTCCCTGCCGTTCCCTTAGTTCTTTTGGACTATACACTAACAAAAGGATTACAGCACCCGGCAGATAGCCTTCTGTATCCTGTTCTTGAGCGCCAACTTCAGCAGACCTGAGGTACATGCATGCTTGTGTGCTGTGTCCGAGTGCCAAAATGATTGCTGAATACCAGGTTTCTGGCTAGAAGTGAATGGTTCAGCGGATCTTTGCTATCTAAACTTCGCTGTTGATATTCTTGTACTTGTCTTGCGATGATTGACAATTATCATGGGAATTCCATGGATCAATCAGTAGAATGGGGAAATCAACTGCCGAATGAAAAAAGAAGCCTTGATGGTACTGATCAGGGAGCGGATGACCTCATTGCTGCTGTGAAAAAGGCAAAGCTTGAGTATGATCAGAATTGGGGAAAAGACAAAATCGTTAAAAAGATTGAAGATTCAGCAGCATATTCTTGTGATCAGCAGGATGTTGGTTTTCGACCAATCGAAACAAAAGAACCGACTTACACAGGGGTCCGATGGAGCGGAAAGAAGGGTAAATGGCGGGTAAGAATCAAAGCAAATGGCAAGGTAATTCAGATGATGATTTTGAGAACATCGTGAACAATGTGTTTCAGGACAACCATGTTGGCTTCTTTCAGGATGCTAAGAGTGCAGCACTGGCATATGATCGAGCTGTCAAACGTTTTTTTCCGAATTGGGAAACTGATCGATCGATCAAACTTAATTTCCCGCCAGACGACAAAGACAAGCAATCTTCTCATCCCAAGAACGAAGACAAGACTCTCTCCGGAATTAGTGCACTGTTGGCAACGGATGCAAGGATTTCGCTGTCACCAATCAAGTCTCTCAGCCCACATGGTTTTTCAAGGAACTCTTCTCAGCAAATAGAGATTCTTTCTGCTTCTGGCATGATGGCCCCAGCTAGCACAATGAGTGGTCAACTGCCTAAAGAGCAGAAATCTGGAACCTTGCTTGCCCCGCTGCAAATGAATTTAGATAAAGACAGAGTTAGTGACAAATCGTCTTTGGCTCACCTCCTCGATGATAAGACGGTTAATCTTCTAAATGTATGTTCAAACTATTTACCATCCGTACAGGCCCTGGCGAGGACGCCCAGTCCGGCTGGTACGACAACTCCCTCGAACGCTGGCGGCGGCAACGTATCGAATATCTCGACTCCAGCTACTTTACCATCTCCTTCAACTCTTTGGTCACCCGTTCATGGTGGACATGCCTCCAACCGTAGCAATGTTGATACTCCTCCGGGTATTTCAGGCCCCCCTCGTCTTTGTGCGGTAAGAACATTCCTCTGTATGTTTGATTCGAATCATGGCTTCTACAGAATGCGAGTATTGCTGGCGCGGTTGCGCCAGCAGTGTGGACGCCTGGTCCCCAAGCTCTGTCAAATCAGGATCGATATCCAGTCCAGCCTGGTGGTTTAAATATCGAACAAGAGGCACTAAAGGTACGTTCCTTGAAGGAGGAGTCTGGCTTCACATTGTTTTCTGAATTCGAATCAACTTTTTGTTTTCAGGGTCTAGTTGAACTTGGCAAGAACCATCATGTTGACTACGCGATGGCTCATCACAAGAAGACTGTTCAAACCATTTCTACATCAAACATTCGAACGAAAGACCATCTTGCGACCAAGTCTGAAAATGCGGGACCAAGTAATGACTCAAATGAAACTTTGAGTCACAACTTTTATCCAAGAAACACGTGGAGTTCTGTTGCTATAGGGAATTCCTTGACTGCTCAAACGTCATCGAACCGAAATAGGTGCCATCCGGTCGACCAGTTCTAATTCATGCTTACATATGTCGTAGGCCATTCGGAGATCCAGATCCCTCTGGGCGCAGAAGTCAAAATTTTCGTGGAGTAACGTGGGACAAAGCAAAGCAGGTATGCAGAAAACATTTACACGACAATGTGCTCACTGGAAGGAAAGATGTGGAGAGTTCGTCTTTGCTTGGCTGGCGGAGGACGGGAGCACATTGGGTACTTCTCAGATGAGCGCGAAGGAGCACTAGCATACGCAGAAGCGCTTCAGAGATTGAAGAATGAGCTTCCATTGTCTACAAAGCAGGATAGCAAAGGAGTTCTTGATAGGTCTACTACATTCCCATTATCTGCCGCCTCGAGCATTACATCCCCTCATCAGGCAAGTCTTTCTGCTTGACTTGGACTGTTGGTAATCGGTTACTTTTGCAGCACACCGGAGCTTTCAGTCAGGTTGGCAGCGATCTGACAGTAAGTCTTATGCAACATGACAGTTGAAGACTGATACTATAAGCAGAGAACGTTCAGCCTTGCACAAACGGTTGGGCCTGGTAGATTGAATGCTGTAACCAACTGGCAACGTATGGGCATCACGGGTTAGTTCCTTCTAGTATTCCTTGGCGGAGCCTCTGACGTTCTTTCTCATATACACAGAGAACAGCACTCCTCCAAAGTAGACTGTATCCAACGCCCGCGTCAATTTCATCTATTCATTTTCTCTTATGTTGACCTCATATCAGTCGAACTCATTTCCGGCTCTATTGGCTTTATTTCTTCAGTAACGTCTGACTTCGTACGTACGGTCTTCTGTTCTCTCAGATTTTGCAAAAGAAAATCTTTAAGGGCATTCTTCCTGTCATTCCTGCATCTATCACCTGCCTGAAAACGCGATGAACCTGCACGGGCGTCAGAGCGGGCGACCAGACATGAGTTTCACATGTGGGAGACTGACTCAGCTAAGTCCTTGCACAGCGGCCTCAAACCATATCCAGTGCACTGCATGCTAAGTTAAGTGTTGTGAAGAGATCGTGTTGTATCGCACCAACGCCGGAGGAAGCAACATGTCAACACCATCCGCTCTCCAAGTTTGGCTGAAAGAGAAATATTTCACCGTGTGACTAAGAGCGTACTTTCTGTTGTCTGTGAAATTTTCTCTCTCTGGTGAAACTGTCCACCTAGCAACACTGTCAGGCTCGAAATGACTTACTGCCACTACCTGCTTGCCAACATTCTTGAGTGGATTCCCTGCTCGTGAAACCTCACGTCATTCAGATCATTACGTGCAGACATCTTTTTCAGAGTTTCTCCATTTTGAGTGTTTAGGTAAAGTGTCTGCAGACATGTTACAAAGGTTTGAAGCTGATCCTGTGCTTGCTTGGTTCGTTTCAAAATGAGGTCGAAGATTCAAAAGCAGTGGCGTCCGGTTATGGAGCCGATTCATCTTTCTGATGGAGTTGCAAACCGACTCGTAATAAATCCTATAGTGACTTCTTTTAAGTCAGTTTCACATCTGGTTGATGTACAACTCTCACGGCCGACACCCGGAATCGCTATATGCTTCAGGTTCAGGTACATCGACATCAAGGACTCTTCTGCTTAACTTCCTTGCGAGTCAAAAGTAAAGCATGAAAGCATCTTGTTACCTTGCAGTAAACTATTGATGGACAAACACCAAAGATGTATGACAAATGTTCTTTCAAATTGAGCGCCAGTGTGAGTATATGATTTTGACTCTACATTAAATCATGCGGAGAATCAACTCAAAGCATCACAACCTTTACCTCTTGACAACCTTCAGCGCAATCTCGCAAACCAAAGTCTTTGACTATATTTCCAGAATGTGGGACAGTAATGATAATAGGCAAAACTCCGTATTCATACACAACAAGCTCTTTCAACAAGACGAATTCTGCGCGATGTTTCACGAAACCTTGCTCGCAGCTATCAGGTAGGACAGGCATGGCAACCCCTGAAAGCGTGTACCATTCAACTTGACCACCACATACCAAAGTCCATCCAATATCCGCGCTGATTCCTGTGGGCATCAACGAGCGTCAGCTATGAACCTCGAAATTAAAATAGTCAATGTCATCGCAAGACTTTCCTGTCCAACATTCAAAGAAGACCAGCTCCATGTTGCTCTCTGACCTAGGATTTTGACAATTTCGTTATGGTGAAATCTGGGCAAACTGCTAAGCATAGCTACGTTTAAAGTTTCGAAGTAATCGACCTTCTTCCATCAGGTGCATACCAGGAGTAGGTAATTTTATCAAGCTTTTCCACCAGAGAGAACTTGACGTTGCAATATATCTTCCCAGCGCTGGGGAGGACCTGCCACCCACGTCAAGATTGTCGGGTAAGAGCTGAATTCTACGTAGAACGCGGTTATTCCCGGAGCAGAACTGGATCTTGCATCTAGCTCTAGCAACCTTGCGAAGAAAATAACCACCAAAAATGCCTTGGTGATACCAACCACTCAGGATCAATGCTAGATTCTTCCTCCCGATCCATTCTGACAACAGAACTGGAACGTAATCAGTAAAGACTAGGGATAATAGGGAGATCACTGGGTCACTAAACGACTTTCATCTGATGCCGATGTGTACCCACAAACTTCAAGAGGGTCAAGGAATTCAAAGTGGGCCGCAGCAACATTGCGCTAACCTTTCCAGTCGGCGATTTTCTTACTAGAACCTTTAAAGGAAATAGTGTGCTAAGGATACTCGTATCAATTAGATCACTGCCTAATTCCAATTTACCTCATGATTGAGCTTCTGCAGGGCTTCAAGAATGGCTTTTTCGTTTCTCAACGCGATGTAGGGGAAACATTTGCTCAGTTTGCACTCCATTATATTTTTGTTGCCATGCTCTGCTTGTTCTTGTCCAGCACTTGCTCCCAACCCAAGCGAGGCCTCAAGTTCTTCAACGTCCATCTTCAACTCAACTGATATGACGATGCGTGATGCGAAACCATAGTCTGCATCAAAGACGGTATGAACTTTCAACAACTTGCCCTACAACAGCTATAGAGGGGGGGTACTGATAACTTTGTAGATGGGGGTGGGTGGGTATGCCAGTTTTGCCAGGGGTCAGCAGAAACCGGAGATGATGGTGGAGCCAAGTAATGGCCTGAGCATGGGCTGGAGTAGGGGTGTAACGAAGGGGAATATGAGGGGTACTCAACCTCTTGTGGTTGACTGATTTGGACTTTCGGAAGAGGCGCGGACGACATGCGGGGAAGGAGGCTAGCGATGGGCGTCCTTGCGCTGCTCCTGGTACTCCTTCGTCGCCTTGCAACACATTTTTATGTTTGAATCATTCTTCTTGTCACCTTTGCTTCTCAACCCTCGACTGTTATGCCAAAGCATTCGCTGACGTTGTCATGCCAGTCCATAGCTGTGGCTGAGAAGGCAGAAGATCTTGAACCGAATGCAAATGAGGCGGCAAAGGATGAAGAGGCTGCAGCGAAGGAGCACTTTGAGGAAGATGATGTCAGGCCCTCTGCTCTTACAATCAAGTCGTACAACTGCACGGAGATTGTTCCAACTCTTCCAGCGAGGTGCATCGACAATCTTCGAAAAGATGCTTGGATAATTCTTGTTCTAGGATGGCTGTTCATGCAGACTCGTGTAGTCTTTGGAGGAAGACTGGGCACGTAGAGGATGAGTGCGACATACTCTTTGTTCTCAGTTCTGTTTCTCATTCTAGGTTGATCAGGTTCCGAAGAAAGCTTATGGATTTTGGCTTGAACTGCCTCAGTCTCACCCCCTCAGATATCAGTTTTCTCACAGCTGACGGAGATCCTGCATTCCGCACATCCGAAAAGTTGTCAATGTTTCGCTTTCATCTTTTGGTGCTCATCAATGTCGCAGGTATTTTGACTGGGGGGTGCAGATAACTGTGCGAGATTGCAATGGACATCCGATGGTACAACGGCTGTTCAAACACGCAATCTTGACAGCTACGACCAGGCTGTCATCAAGGAAAACTTGCTGCATTCATTCGCCCACATGCCTCGTGCTGAATATGTTGTAGAGCTTCCAGATGGTAGGCTGTTCGTTCCCCCCATTGCGTGGGTCACGTTGTGATTCGACAGGAACTGAAGTTGCCAGGAGCAAGCAAGGATCATTTCTTTCAGATACATTCATGGTGTTCAATACTGATCCCTCAGCTGCTGCGGATGAGGGCGAAGGTGAAGAGGGAGCAGAGGCAAGCCCCAAGGGGCCAGAGCCTCTCGCATATGCCCGATTAAGCAAAGGGAGCAAGATTCGTGGCCAATTTTGTGCGTTAATCTGTGCGACTCTTCTGCCAATAGCCTAATGATGAACAGGTATGGGTGGTGCCTGGCGATTGAACGTCAATGAGTACGCTGGTGGATTTTGGAGTGATCCCAGGAGCAGGTTGAGATCAAGGATAACTTTGATAGATCGTGTTGATTTGTGAGTTTTCAGAGAGGTTCTGATGGTTCTAGTGACGGTGAAGTCTGTGCGTGATGCCGATCGGGACAATATGGGCCGGGTGAGCGAAGCAAGGTAATTATCAACAAGCTTGGAAGGCAGCACATTGATGTGAATGCTGTAGATGCCAAGAAAGCTTCTGGCTGTCAATTGTCGTTGTCCCGCTTTTTCTTTTGGCAATCGTACTCGCGTTTTTCTGCTTGCCGGACAGTGCTTGCAGCATCATCTGTGGATGCTTCAAGCGGATGAAATATCATCCGGTCTAAAGAGGCTCAAGCGTAATTAGTAGACCTGGATCAGAAGGGGATGCAGGGGATGCAGCTTAAAATCGCCCTTTATCCTTGCAAGCAACTATTTTTTTATCTAGCTTTGCATGTTAGTTTAGATTGTGCAAAATTAATGGCGGGAAAACATTTCTCAACTAGTTGGCTGTCTTGTTCATAGTGAATTTGAGAAATACTTTAAAAACTGACCGAAACTCCATGTCATAGATTCCAATGCTTTCTGAAAATCTTTCATGCTTTGCTCTTACGGCCACTATCCTGTTTGATATCTTTAGTTCGCTTCTTCTTGATTACTTTTTCTGTTTCATCGGGTTTGCTTCGTTTCTTAGGAGTTGATTTCTGTGACGGACTTTCTGCAGGTTTCTTTTCACCGTCCTGCCTTTTCTTGTTCTTGCTTGTTTTCTTGGGAGGATTCTCAATTGGGAGGGCTCTTCTCAGCTTGACCGTCCTTTCCCCGACAATGAAAGGATGCTCTTGTGTCCTGAGCCTTCGTGAGCAACACAACACGTCGTAGGTAAGACAAGACGAAAACATAACTCGACGCCACATCATAGCATAACATGTAGTTATGGTTATCATCATAGCAAGTTGTCACAGCGATGATTTGAGGACACGTCGTCATCGCAACGAAGTCATTGCAAAATGCAGGCTTCATACATGTCAATGACTTCCGATGCCATCGCGGCGGTTTCCAAGTCGAAGAAGCCCCACCTAGCACTCACATTATCGGGCCTCTGTCACTTCCGATGCTCACCCATTGTTCCGCGGTCGTCTGCCAGGAAACCGAAGGCCAAGTATATTGATCGGCACTTTGGTCAAATGCTTCTTGACATGATCTTTCAAACTTTGCAAAAGCTCTTCTCCTTTCAAGCGATAAGGAGCCCCACTGAAGAAAAGCGTGTTTAAACTTGTTTCATTAACTGCTCTGTTAAACGAAGCAGTGCCCTGTGTCCAATTGATCAAAGCAAATTTAAAAAGAAAAAAAGAGTGACACAAAGTTATGAAAAACCTCGGCATCTTTTTGAGTTGGAAGCTTCTTCTTGGCTGCAGTGACCTCCTTGGCCGGCTTGTCTTTCGATTTCTTTTGGGGTGTGTTGCTAGTTTCACCTTCCATCTTTCGCCTCTTCTTCGCTTCACTCACTGACTTCTTCTGACTTGCTTGTGCACTCTTCTTTACCTTCAACTCAGCCGACCCTCCCCGCAGGCTCAGGAGAGCAGGACATCTCTCCGATCTCACTCGCGCGCCCGCTTGACCCTCGGATCCGTGGGTTTCACTGAGAGCTGAGAGCAGGCAGGTCAAGAGTCCCAGCAACAGCCAACGACGCGAGCTCATGTCGCACACTCCCAGCCCCTCCATTCCGCCTCTTGTTGTATCCCGTGCTCCCCGCCACCCCCCGCCTCAGCTGGAAACCTCTGGATTGGAAAAACCAATTAAAGAATGAGTTCAGCTGCCTCTGTTTCTCAGTATCCCTTATCCTGAGGTGGACTGGTAAAGTTATTTTTTTTGGCCTTCAAGTAAATAATGCTGACTTCTCTGTCGAGTCAGTTGGAGTGTTCCTCGATAATACTGGTATTACTAGGCTGCCACACTGACCGCCGGGCTCTTTCAGTTGCCGTGACTCGTCAGGATCTTCGAAAGATCAACCGCAGCCTGGGCAGCGTTTGTCATGATTGACTATGATTGACTAACCGTGACACAGACTCCAGAAGCAGTTTAATAACAAGAAGACAAATGGGGTCCACACGCTTAGATCTTCGTCACATGGCAAAACCTGTAAATGTTGATTAAAAACGCAGGTCGTTGAAGCGCCAGACACCCACATGCCATTGACGGGAGTGATGGGAATCTTGTATGGATGCGACTTGTCGTCTTGACCTTGCGCTGGTGAGAACTTGTATCTCGAGAAGAGAAGTCCCAATACGATCCTTGACTGCATGGAGCCATTGACTTCAACACCAGCAGGTTCAATCGCATACCTCAAGAAGCGAGAAGTGTTGGCCGAGACAGTTGCGAGGTCCTGCCAAACCAGGTAAGAGGGTCTGGGGAGGGGAAAGGGGGCGAGCAAGACACCGTTGATGAAAGGGAGAAAAGCCCAAGGGTCAACACCTTCTCCGAGGCCCAGCTGAGGCGAAGGCGTGTCGAGGACGTCTTAATCCTCGTCAACCATTGACATTGAAATCTCTGCACTAACCGAATCTCGAGGGAAGAAATTCATTCACGTCTCCCTGCAAATCAACAGTGGTTATTGATGCGAATCAGGATCAATCAGGCTCTACGAACGTTGGGCCAAAGATCCTGCCGTTTGTGTATTCCATCCATGCATATCAGAGCCACAGCCCCCTGAGGGATGCTGCGAGCAAATATGACCATGTTAAAGAAAGAAACACAAAAGAGGTCAAAACAATACCTGACGTCTCCAACAACATCGGGTTGGACCACCTCTCTAGTAATGACCGGGACTGGAGGATGAAGTCGCAAAGTTTCTCTCAAAACGTTGAAGGTGAATGGCAAGGAATTTTGCAATTCGTCATAAGAAGGACGCGTATCATCTTTCGGGAAAAGCGACTTCGATTCGTTGTAAAGTTTCTGCCTGGTTTGTTCACTTTTCATCACTTCCCACAGGGTCCAAGTAAGCATGCACGCTGTGGTGTCATGTCCAGCAAACAAAAATGTTTTCAATCCATCCCGCAGGTCTTGTATGCCGTCTTTTTGAAACTGAGCTGGGTCCACACCTAATCTGGCTTGTCACAAGAAGCGACAAACTGGCATGTCATGCCTGATAAAATTCGATCCAGTATATATTTTGGAGAGTTCTTTTCCTTAGCATTCGCCATGGATTGCCAACGATCATTGATCTGTAAGAGAAATTGTCAAGACTGCGCGAACAGAGCAAATGATGTTGACAAGCACACATCTTCTTACTTTTGCCACGAGATAATCGTTAAGTTGTTTGACCAGCGATCTGTGCCTCCACCATGCGTTTGTCGGAAGATACATGCGGTAGGGATACCAAATTCTGTCGTTGCATTCTAAAGCAAAGATCAACGACTGATACAAGCATCGGAGTGTAAAGGACAGATGCAAACACGGCACGTACCATCGATGATGGGAAGGTATAGGTTTGAAATCTCTCGATCGCTCTCTGCAGGCTCAACTCCCAGAACAGCGAGAGAAATCACTTGCAGTGTCAATTTTCTGAATATCTCTGCCATGTCCACTGCAGCCCCACTCTCTGCTGCTGCATCCAATGTCTGAAAGAGGTTTCTCGTTATCTCTAATGCGGCACTGGCAACCTCCTCCAAGATTTCAAGTTTGAAGGTTGGCGCGAGCTCTCGCCTAAGCCTGTGCCAGCGCTCCCCTTCGCTAGTGACGATCCCAGTTCCAAGAAGACAGTCAAAGACTTTGTAGGTCCCCGGGTCTTTCCGGTAGTTCTTTGCCTTGGTTTGAAGCACATGTCGAGCAAATGCAGGGTCAGCCATCACGATGTAGACTCGTCCAAGCACATGCATGCGGAAGAAGTTGCCGTGCTCTGCTGACAGGGCTCTGAAGGTGTCCCAGACATTCCCTTGCAGCAGTTTCAATGCGTGGCCTAGGAATGGAATCCTCCCAGAGGGGCAAGGAATGTGCCTGCACTTGAAAGAAAGGTATACTTCTTTGAAAGTGAGCTGTGCTACGAAGAACAATACAGGCAACACGCCAAGCAACCACAGATGATCCGGAGAGAAGAGTGAGAGCACATAGCTGTCTAACATACTGACGGGCGGCTACGCCTCCTCTTCCTCCTCGTCCTGTGCGCCACTCACGAGCCGCCTGATGACAAACGTTTGAGGGGGAATTGAGCAAGCAAGTCCCCCTCAGAGTTCAAGCGAAGACAGCATCCGGTGCCAATTCGAGCAGTACAAGCGAATTTGAAACGGCTTGACAAGCCGTTTCACGTTCAGCGTGAAATCAGCGTGAAATGGCCCTGATGAGCCTGACTACCTCTAGCTAGGGTGAGGATGGATCGAAGTTAGATAATAGCAAGACAATGCATCAAGTAATTGAAGGAGCCTGATGTGATCTTCCAGTACTCTTGCCATGATAGTTGTGGATCCCTCCCACCAACCTTTGAACCTTTCCTCCCATCCCTCCTGCTCTTGGCATATCTTGTAGTTCCTGGACTTACTTTCCTTCCAAAGATGTCCAACCTTGTCAGCTATGCGACGGTGAGGGAGCAGCAAAAGAACGCTTTCACTCGAGGTCCAGGGCTGGGGCGAACAGATAGGCCATCATCCAAAGCAGCGACTAGCCCCAGGAATCAAGCAAATCAAGCGGCAGTAACTTGATATGGAAGCCGTTGATGTCAGTCCGCTTGACAAGAATGCAGGCGAGCAAGAGCAAGAAGCTCAAGTCGATGAGCGTGGACGAGATTATGAAGAAGTTGAGGCATCTCATCTCCATCATAGGAAAGACTGAGTGGAACAAGCACATCAGGTCTGCAAGTCACAATAGTGATTGTGTGTATGTGTGTGTATGTAATAGTGATTGTGTGTGTGTATGTAATAGTGCTTGTGTGTATGTGTGTATGTAATAGTGATTTTTTGCATTTGTGTGTATGTAATAGTGATTGTGTGTATGTGTGTATGTAAGTATGTAATAGTGATTGTGTGTATGTGTGTATGTTGTATTGCGTTGTGAATTCACTTTTCTCTTCCTACTCTCACTGCTCTCCAGGTCATTTGATGCAGACAGGGATGGAATTATCACTTTTAACGAGCTCATGAAGTCAATGAAATCTCCCTTGGTTCATAGAAACTTTAGCGTGAGCGAATCTGAGGTTGTCGGAGTGCGAGTGGTCGGAGTATCGCTCACGAGTTGTGATGCAGATGTTGATGTTCTGGAACGCCATGGAGAAGACTTTTGAAACGTCCAACGGAGTTGCTCTCAAGGACCTCAACGCTTTCGTTCAGAAGGATGAGATGGAGGCGTATGAAGCTCGGCGAGGAGCAGCTGGTAGATCTCCCCCCGGGGGGATGAAGGTTTTGAACCAGATGCCGGTGAGACTGCAAGGAGAGGTGGAAGATGAAAATGATCGCCTACCGCAGATGCCCTTTGAAAGCGACAGCACGAGAGATCCGCCTCAAACCTCATCAACTTCCTCGAACATCGGAAATAACCAAGAAAATGGGTTGTCACGCATGAGCAAGTGCGCAACCTTTGATTCGGGTTGTGAAAGTAAGTTTCTTGTTTGATACAGGTACAAGTTGGACACGTTGCGGATAAAGTTTCGATCTGGGGCGTCGGAGATGAAAAGAGATGACTGGAAAGCTTTGTTGCAAGAGTGATGATTCCTCGGTTGTAGCCTCGCGGCTGATACATTCTGCAGCCACGACAGAAACCTGGATGGAATCATTCAATTTCGTGAATTTGTCGCAAGTATTCGCGATCAGTCTACTGAGTTCTTGCACAGCTTGTCTTCGTGGACTGACAGGTCGTTTTTCCCCGTTTGATATCGTCCGTGAAGTCTGAGAATGCCAATGGCAGAGAACTGGCGGAGATCTGGAGATGTGTGGACGTGAAAGGGGAGGGCGTTCTCAAGATTGAGGAGCTCCTCGACTTCTTCTTCTCTCAGGTCTCTTCATCTTCCCCGCAGCAAGAACAATTTCTCTCTCCTCTCGATCTTCCATCCCAGGAAGGTGGAGGCGGCAAGCCAATCCTTGTCGCGCCTGGAACTGTTTTGTCCTCTGCACAGTTTGAAGGAGAAGCGGCGGGGACGTTGGATCTGGGAGGAGATGCAAGTGCTCCCGTCATTGAGCGAAGAGAAGATCGAGCAGTGGAGTCCAAGAAATTCATTGAAGGGATCGAGAAGGAAACAAGCCTGTTGGAGGAAGAGCTGAGAATCAATCGCTCTGAAATCTCATGCCTGAAGCATTCGGAGGCGGTGAAAGTCCATCACTGGATTTCTCTTTTGCCTATTCCTTTCTCTGCATTCTCCTCTCCTCATCCCTCCTCTCTCCCCGTTTCCCCCTCCTCGTTTCCCTCACCAATATCTCCTAGGTACTTATGATGTGCTTGCGGAGCCTATTGACCCATGGCGAAGAAGCCAGTCCGCTCGACCAGCAACCCACAACCTCCCGCGAGGTCGCAGCGGTCGCAAGTCATTTGCAGGTGAGAAGAGATGGAGGGGAGAGCGGAGAAACGAGGACAGAGATGAATTCACCAAGAGAACGCGAGCAGGAGAAGAGGGAGAGGAGCAGACTGAGGGCAGGGGGTGAAGGAGATATTCACGCTGACAGAAATCCAGCAGGAGAACAGTCGCCTTCACAACCAGTGTGTGGCTGCCAGGAGGGAACTTAGCATTCTCCGCCACCTCACAAAGAAAGCTCTGTCCTCCCGAGACTTGACCAGCGAGCAGGAGGAGGCGATGAAACTTGCCGGCCAGATAAGAGACGATGAAAGCTCCTCGACGAGGCAAGAGAGGGCGAGGGACGCGCAGAGCGTCAAGGCGGTCACAGAGAGCATGTCAATCGCGTCTTCCCTAGGGCTTGACGGGAACCATCCAAGTCAGCAGGAAAGGAGCGAGACAAGTGTCACCCTCTTGCAGGCAAGTATTTCTACGTTGCCCTCGTTCTCCTTCCTGTCCTCCTCCTCCTCCTCCTCCTCATCATCATCATCATCATCATCATCATCATCATCATCATCATCATCATCATCATCTCAATCACCATCTCAATCATCATCTCAATCATCATCTCAATTCTCTCAATCATTTCAATCATCATCGTCAAAGCTCTTGCCCATCCCATCCATCTACGTGTACTCCTTTGCCTGCTCCTACTCATCTTTGCCCCACTTCCCTCCGATCATCCCATCCTTGCCCGGCTGGCTTGGCTTGGCGTGATCTCATGCAGGAGCATCTCCTGAGCACCAACGAGAAGCTGTGGGATATTGAGAAGCATGTCAACCAGCTCGAGGAGAAGCTCAGGGCCCAGCAGCTCTCCTCCTCCTACCTCAGCAGACCCCCCGATCTCTCTGACAGGATGCAGGGTGGCTGGAATCTCCCGGCTTATCCCCCCATCCTCGCCTATCCTCCGCTTCTTCCTCCCACCGCGCTCAAGCAGGACGAGCTGCTCCAGCGCATCTCTGTTCTCGAGGCTCTGATCCAGAAGCATCTGAGCGGCAGGGGAGAGGCACAGGAGGGGAGCATGAAGGAGAAAGTCGCGCAGGCCCATCCTAGCACCGCCCGGACTCCTCCTCCTCCTCCTCCTCCTCCTCCTCCTCCTACTGTCCCCCCTACAGTTGCGGCTCAATTACCTGCTTCTGTGGATGAATATCCTCCTCCTTTCCCTCCTCGAAGTGGATATCCTTCTTTTCTCCCTCCTCCTGGTCAATCTTGGTCTTCCCCCAGCCCCCTCCCTCCCACTCAGTCTTCGATCTCTCCTGTTCTTCCTCCTGCTTCAGAAAGGAGCAGACGCGGGGACGAGCATCTGTCCATGTCGCAATCGTCGCCCAACTTGCTTGGGCCTCGAGATGGCAGGGAGGAGCCAAGGCAAAGCGAGCAAGTAAGAGCGCAGGGGCAAACAGTGCAGGCAGCCCAAAGACGGGAGGAAGAGCAACAAGTGCCAAGACTAGAAGCGAACGCAGAGAGATCAGGCGAGTCAAACTCTCTTCACCTTGTGCCCTGACAGGCAGAAGCAGAGCCGATTGTGTTGAGCTTTACACCAAAAGAAGAAGAGAATTTCAGTGCCACAGTCAAAGAGAGCGAGAGAGTCAGAGACGAAGGAGGCAGAGTCAACAGCAGCGAGAAGCACAATGAAAGCAAAGATGATGACACTTCAATCATGTCTGACAAGTCGGCGGTGGAGAGAAGTCTCCAAGCAAGGATAAAAACCTTCAGCAACTGGCCGTTTGTTGACAAGGTGAGATGAGGGGGAGGGGCTTGACATTGTCCTGCCCGACCCTCGTACTGACTTGCCGAGACCTGACTGACTTGCTGGTCAACAGCTGGGCTATCCCTCCGTTGAGCAGCTCGCTGTGGCAGGATTCGTGTACAACCCGACAAAAGATGCGAGAGATGGCACAACCTGCGTTGAGGTCCGCCGATGCTCTCACAGATCCGCTATCCTCCTTGCTCGTCACTGTCTCCTCCTCCTTGCTCTCTCCCTCGCCCCTTCACCTTTCGTCCCCCCTCTCGCTGCCTTGCATCCAGCTCCTCCCTCGCATGCTTGTAGATAGATCCCTTGCTCACTTCTCTTATCCTCCCTATTCCTCATCCCTCTCTTTACTCTCTCATCTCCCCCTGTTGTATCTTATCACTCCGCCTCCTTTCTCCTTTAATCTTTGCTCAACCTTTCTTTCCTGCAGTGCAAGGCTCAACTTGCTACGTGGGAGGGAGTGCGCGATCCCATTGCTGTCCACGCTCTCATCTCTCCAGCTGTCAGGATCTTATCTTGTCTTCCATTGCTTCCTCCCTCTCTTTCCTGCTGTTCAACGGATCTCTTCTGCCTCTTCTCTGCTTTGCTTTCTTACCTCCTCCCAGTCCCTCTCATCTTCTCTTAACTCATTTACTTCCAGTGCTCCTACGTGCGAGAACTCGCAGTACCTCCTGGCTTGCACGAGACTTCTCGCGATCGATTCTCGGAGGCCGCAGAATCAAGCCCTGTCTTGGAGCAAGAGGCACAGGTACCACAGACTCCTCGAAGGCAGGCCAACGAGGAGGAGGAGGAAGGCAGAGCAGCCTCGTCAGATCCCGTGCGAGAGAAGACGAGAAGAGAGGAGATAGGGGAAGAGGAGAAGCAGGAGGGGGAGAGGGAGAAGGCCTCCCGTGGTCTTGCGCTATCACCTGGCTCGCTCGCCCTCCAGCAGTCAAGGTGTCGACCAGACGTTGAGATGTGAGAGATGACGAGGCGGCAGAAACCTCGTGGAAGCTCTCAAGGAGGACGAGACACATCTCGTTGACACAGCGAAACATGTCGATGCTGGTCCAAGACGCGTTTCCAGTCACTCAGACTTTCATGATGTCAGGGTAAGCCGAGCTGATTTCTTCCTCATCTGTCTAAAGTGCTTCTTCTCTCTCAATGGTCATCTCATCTCATCTCATCTCATCTCATCTCATCTCATCTTATCTCCTCTCCTCTCCTCTCTTCTCCTCTTCTCGTCTCCTGTACTCTCACATCTCATCTCATCTCACTCTCCTCTCATCTCATCTCGTCTCATCTCATCTCATCTCCTCTCCTCTCCTTTCATCGCATCTCATCTCATCTCCTCTTCTTTCATCTCATCTCATCTCCTCTCCTCTCCTCTCCTCTCCTCTCCTCTCCTCTCCTTTCATCTCCTCTCCTTTCATCTCATCTCATCTCATCTCATCTCATCTCATCTCATCTCCTCTCCCCTCCTCTCCTCTCCTCTCCTCTCCTCTCACATCTCATCTTCTCTCCTTTCATCTCCTCTCCTCTCATCTCCTCTCATCTCATCTCGTCTCATCTCCTCTCCTTTCATCTCATCTCATCTCGACTCCTCTCCTCTCCTCTCATCTTACATCTCCTCTCATCTCATCTCTCTCCTTTCATCTCCTCTCATCTCATCTCTCTCCTTTCATCTCATCTCATCTCCTCTCCTTTCATCCCATATCATCTCATCTTCTCTCCTTTCATCTCATATCATTTCATCTCCTCTCCTTTCATCTCATCTCCTCTCCTTTCATCTCATCTCATATCATATCATCTCCTCTCCTCTCCTCTCCTCTCCTCTCCTCTTATCCCCTCCTCTCCTCTCCTTTCATCTCCTCTCCTCTCATCTCCTCTCATCTCTCATCTCATCTCGTCTCATCTCATCTCATCTCGACTCATCCTCTCCTCTCTTTTCATCTCATCTCCTTTCATCTCATCTCATCTCCTCTCCTTTCTCAATACTCTCCTCTTTTTTGGTGCTCTCGATTTCATTTCCTTCTATTTCTTCTCCTCTCTTTCTTTATTTTTTTTCTCATTTGTTTGCTCAATCTTCTTTGCCATTTTCTTCTGATTGTTTTCGTGTCCCTCGTTCGTCAATTTGCAGCCGCGAGCACCTTCGGCACTAACAGCTGAGGCAACAAGCGGTGCTCATGACGGCGACGAGAAGTTTGTCCCTCCCAAGTTGAAGCATGCAGCCTCTGTGAACGACTTCGGTTTGCGAGCTCGGGCAAAAGAGGAGGACCAGGACGCCTTTTCTCCTCGCAGCGCCACCATCGAGCGATCGAGAAGTCTCATCCTGCAGATGGCCAAGGTCGAAGGCTCCTCCACCCCCCAACCTGATCCGATCCTTTCAGCAGGAGGCACAGGAACCCCCCCGCTCGCCTCGTAGACTGAGCCCAGAGGTGACTTGCAAGTGAAGCAAGAGCGAGGAGGGAGGGAGGGCGCGACTGAGAGAAGCAGGGAAGCAGGGGAGCAGGGAGCGAGGGTACATAGACGAGGACGATGATTCCTGATGACATTGGTCGCTAAGCTCGCTGGACCTCAGGGCTCAAGGAGGCTCAAGCGGATAAGCAAGGAAGGCAGCAGGAAGGGTTTCGAACAGCCGCAAACATCCCTGGGGATCGTGGTGAGACCTGAAGGCCAGCTGGTGATGCAGTTGGAGTGACAGACTGGTCAAGGTTGGGGACATGCAGGGCTCCATGCGCCGGCACCTCATCGTGGAGAAGCTGGAGCGAGACTCGCCGGCATGGCTCAACGGAAAGATCAAGGCAGTCTCGCTCAAGCTCCCGCCGTGTTTGAATCGCATGCAGGTTGGCGACAAGATTATCGCGATCCTCTCAGCCGAGATGAAGAGCCCGATCCACGTGCGAGAGGACATGGACGTAGCGCATGTGCAGCAGGTCATGCCGCCCTTGTCCTTTCCCTTCTTACCTGAAGTCCAGGTGCTGGATGAGGGCCCGTCAAATTCCGAAGGTGAGCGACTCTTCTGCTCGTGCGCGTGCTCAATTCTGTTGCAGTGGAGTTGGAGATGAAGACCAAGTTTCTCGGAATGAGCAAAACCTACTTTGTCTCTCTCATACGCAGCTGAGCAGCGAGAGAGGTTGTGAGATGTGATATCACACTTGAGATGTGACATCACACTTGAAGCTGCTCCACAACAAGTTGCCTCCTCAACGACAGGATTGAAGCTCAATGAGAACAGGAACTATGTTGACTGAAGCTACGTTTTTCATAGCTCAAAGACAAGCCTTTTTGAGAGCCGGACTTTGTTAGTTTGCGATATCAGATTATATGCACAAGTATCAAATACATACAGCAAAAACAATACAAACCACGAACACGATGATCATGACACATATGTTGAAGTCTGCCTCAAAACATTCATCTTGACATCCTTGTTAGGGTTTCAACAAAGTAAAGTTCCTTAATTTCAGGACGATTCACTCTCCTTCTCTTCTCTACTTTACTCATCTCATCCTCGAGCAGAGCAGTTTGATTGTCTTACATTCATTGTCATATAATCTTCAGCTTCTGTACATATCAACGCTCTCCCCCCCTCATGAGTCTCCATGTGTCAGCATTCGAAACCTGGATTCAAACGACACAAGGAAGATGAAGCAGGCCAACAGCAGCACGCAGAACGAGCACATCACTTTCGACCAGCCCGAGCACTCGCACCAGCACCTCCGCCCTTGCAGCTCCCCTAGCACATCTGCCTCCTCCTTCTCCATGGAGGGGCTCTGGTGTCGGGGTAAGACGCAGATGAAAGGCTCAACCTGCAGGGTAAAGTCCGGGGGCACAACCACTACAAGCTGATCACAGTCACACCCCTGATGAGACAAGCTCCTTCCTATCTGAACTCCACCCTCCAGCTTGTGAGGCCGGAGTCCCGGGTCGCTCGTCGACGCTGAGAGAATGTTGGGTGTATGCGCTATCTCCGTCACTTCATGCAAGTCCGCAGGCAGTTCCATCTGAGGATGTACAGCAACAGACACTACCGCGCAGGAAGTCATGATTACCCTGCTCATGACGACGATTGAGGGACAGCACAAATTGTACGGGAATGAAACTGCTCTGACAAGTTGATATGCCGCAGAAACAGTTCTTGCACAAACAGTTCTTACGAGAGCTTTCGGGGAAATCAGATGCTGTGGAGGCGTGGATGAGAGCGTTGAGCAGACAGATAAGCGTCGTGTTCCCAATCACCGCACCATTGCATTCCTCTGGTTCGAACTGCTTAGAGCGTTGGGGGAAATGGAGGGGGTGGTAGAATTGAGGAATCTTGAAAGGGGGGGGTAGGTAGCAAAAGTGACCAGCAGGGTACCTTTATTGCAGGCTACCCACTAGGGAGAAATCGTATATTGTGGGTATTGGTGGTGGGTACGTGGCATGGTCCCTTCCCTGCAGGTGGTGGGGTACATTGTCAAGCATGGGTGCTACATCCAAGCAGGTAGTAGTAGGGTATTCTTTACTACAGAAACTTTTACTACAACAGCACGAGGAGATACAATAATAATGAACATGGAGAAGCCGTGTTGTAAATACTGAGGGGTGGTGATCTTAGAAGACAGGGGTGGGGTACAGATGACTTCCAGATAGGCATTCCGACTGGTTCCGACAGACTCTCTACCACCCTACCTACCTTTTCGGTCAAAGTGAGGGTGGGGTCCCAGACGGGAGCATGCCGAAACCGACAGGAAGCAAGATGGCTCCTGCAAATGACAAGAAAAGCAAGTGATGTAAGCTCTCAGGCTTTTGAGGGAACGGATGATAAGGCGATTCCGCAGAGAATGAGTACAAGACAGGACACAAGAGATCCTGGATAGTCTAGTTGTGTCGGAAGCTCAGGTCGCCATGCACATACTGCTTTTGGCCAATTCTGCAGGTGCTTGTCTGACCATAGCAAAGCACAGCCCTGAGCGAGCTCAACTCAGAAAGGACTTACGCTTGGTAAGGTTTAACACTCGTCGGTAAGGCTAGCCTTGATTATCAATCAAGTCGACAGTTGGAATCTAAATGGATGTACGTCACAATTGCCGGATCCTCGGTTGTCGACGGAGCCTACTGAGTACAATCGACTTCCCTCGCTCCTGGTAGGATGAGGAGCAAAAGCTTGTCGTGAGAAACGAGAGCTCGCACGAGACACGCGACTGCTTGCAAAGCATACAGCACATAATTGGATTAGTGTCAATATGATCTAATCTTTAAGGGTTTCTATTCTCCTCATTCGTTTACCAAGCTGGTCTAGTATCGCCAGTCAGATACAAACCCCTTGGTCTTCCAGCAACGGTACTCTGAGCTTTGGTCGAGTTAATATCGACAACTCGAGAATCTTGGCGGAATGACACGAAATTTAGCAATGGAATTTGTGCTGCAGTGAACCTTGTTTCCCTTGTCCTGCTTTTCCTTCCCTCTGCTCGTGGCCTGACAGTGTTCCATTTGGTAGATTGAAATGTAATGCCAAAATCGAAATATCTTTGTGAAAATTCGGATGGAAAACATCTTTGGCGATTGTAGCCGAGCCCCTACGATTTCACAACAATTGCCACAACAATCGAGCCGATTGTCGCCTATGAAAAACACATACTCCGCTGGCTCTCATAGATAGTGTTGTAAATGACGTGAATAAATGTGTGGGTCCGGTGTATCACAAAATGAATACAGGTATCGAACATCTGATTGGGTACAAAGAAACCGACAGACATTGTTTTCATGCAGGACTTGGAACGAGGACATGCAAGCGAAAACAAGAAGGCCGATGAAGAGAAACGAATTTGCAAAGAACGAATTGGGCAACATGAACAACACAAGTCCAAGAACTTATACAGGTCTTTTATTAATTGACATCCGCTGTACAACCATCTATGCCCTTAACGCTCTCCCCCCCTCATGAGTCTCCATGTGTCAGCATTCGAAACCTGGATTCAAACGACACAAGGAAGATGAAGCAGGCCAACAGCAGCACGCAGAACGAGCACATCACTTTCGACCAGCCCGAGCACTCGCACCAGCACCTCCGCCCTTGCAGCTCCCCTAGCACATCTGCCTCCTCCTTCTCCATGGAGGGGCTCTGGTGTCGGGGTAAGACGCAGATGAAAGGCTCAACCTGCAGGGTAAAGTCCGGGGGCACAACCACTACAAGCTGATCACAGTCACACCCCTGATGAGACAAGCTCCTTCCTATCTGAACTCCACCCTCCAGCTTGTGAGGCCGGAGTCCCGGGTCGCTCGTCGACGCTGAGAGAATGTTGGGTGTATGCGCTATCTCCGTCACTTCGTGCAAGTCCGCAGGCAGTTCCTGGTGGGCTGAGGACCGCAGCTGCATAATCAGAATATGTCTCTGCTTGCGCTGCTTGCCATGACTGCGCTACTCCCGGCGGCCGTGCGGGTATCCCTGCAGGGATCCCTGGGTTATTTTAAAGGAAAAAAAAAGATTGAGTCATGGTCGTTGCGAAAAAGAGCTTTTTCGATAGTTGCGATTACATCTTTACTTAACAAAACTGAGCAGAGCAACCCCCGCCTCAGCCTGTGCAGTCACAAAACTAAAATTTACTCACTATCACACTACGAGCTAGCCTCATTAGCGAGGCCTAGGAAGAGGTGAGGGCAGCATGAAATTGCTCTTGATGTCATTCTGCCAGGATCAACTCCATGGCTGGAAGGGGAATGGTGGGGCTGCAGGGATGGCGGGAAAGAAGGATGGTGCAATGGCTGAGAGAGACATGCTCCTCGCATGCTGCGAGCTTGCAAGCAGTGAGCGGAATACAAAGACAGGTAAGAAGAGCAAGACCTACCTCCCTAGGCCGGACGGGAAGCTGCGCCATGCAGATTCTTCACAAGTCGGAGGCATTCAGGCATGGACGCGGAATGGACGGTGCTCAGACTAATCGCAGGATAGTCACGAAGCCTCAAGTGAAAACAGGGTTGTTTGGGATCAAGGGGCTTGAGAGGCCGGATGACTTTCCTAAGAAGGCAAAAGAGGCAGCAACGAAGATTGTCAGTCTGCGAGACCAAGTGATCGAAAGTTCTTCTCAGATTCCAGCAAAGCAGATCCTGACCCTGATGGATGAGATCTCTGACTCGCTCTGTCTGGTGATCGATGCAGCCGAGCTCTGTCGCAGCGTTCATGAACACTCCGCGTGGAAGGAGGGAGCGGTCGAGGCGTACGAGATCCTTGGAGACCTCATCTCGGAGCTGAACTCTGACGAGAAGTTGTACCGAGCTCTAGATTCTTGCGTTTCCAACATGGGAGCAGACGGACGAGCGTTTGACGAGGAAGACGTGCGAATGGCGTGGTCGTTGCGAGAAGAGTTCGAGCGAGGAGGGGTGCACTTGGACAGAGCTGGCAGGCAGGAGATGATCGAGTTACAAGGAAGAGCCTCTGCTTTGCTCTACCAGTTTACGTGCAATCAATTCGACGAGGCTGATCCTCAAGTCTCTTTCCCAGCGCCTCTCTCTGACGCCTTGCCCGTCTGGATGAAAGGAAGTCAGACCAGCGATGGGCGCACTGTGATCAGTCTGAATCAAGATACCCTCCAGGGTATCCTGCAAGTCGTCCCAGACGAAGACTTGAGGAGGGAGGCGTATATCAGCTACCATCGGCAGGAACTCAGAGTTCGAGCTCTGGAGGAATTGTTGCTTGTCCGTCACGCCATCGCAAGGAAGATGAAGTTTAGCTCTTTCGCCGACTATGCCATCTCCGGCAAGATGGCTGCGTCACCCAAGGTAGTTGAAGACTTTCTGAATCATCTCAGCGAGCAACTGAAGCATAGAGCTCAACAAGAAATTGAGACCTTGAAGAAGCAGAAGCAGCATTACCTGGGCCTGCAGAGCGACAGCAGCCCTGAAATCTTTCCCTGGGATTTTCCGTTTTACTCCCGGCATTGTCGAAACCCAGAGCATGAGCTCGCTTGCAAGTTGATCAGAAATTTCCTACCGCTTGGTCGTGTCCTGCAAGGCATCGGGAAGCTTTTGGAAAACACCTTTGGAATCTGCATGCGAGAAGCAGAGTTAAGCGAGGGCGAGGGCTGGTCACGTGAAGTGAAGAAGTTGGAGCTGACGCTGTCGGGCACTCTCAGTGACGAGCAGGTGCTCAAATTTCCGACGGATGATCGCGGTCTGCTTGGCATCCTCTACCTCGACCTGATCAAGAGGCCCGCAAAGCTTGGAGGTGCCGCTCATTTCACCATTCAGTGCGGAAGGCTGATGGAGGATGGGCATTACCGGCCCCCTGTGCTCGCTTTAGTCGGCAACTTCAGTCCCCCGGCGCATTCGCAAGAGCCTTTGCTTAGCTTCGGAGAGCTGGAGATGCTGCTGCACGAATTTGGGCATGCGCTTCATTCAATCGTAGGAAGAACGAGATATCAGGTACCGATGGCGGATGCCGGAAGAGATTTTGACTGTCAATCCTCAACAGCATCTCAACGGTACAAGAATATCGATGGATGTGGTTGAAATTCCTTCTAGTCTGATGGAGGTCTCATTAGAGCCTCATGTCTCGTTGCCTGATCCTTGTCTCCCAGTACTTTGCCAGGGACCCGGACTTTATTCAATCTTTCGCAAAACATAACATCACTGGTGAAAGTATTCCCAAACATATTTTAGACTGCGTTCTTCAGGAAAACAGCCGATTTTCTGTTTTAGAGACTGTTCAGCAGATCATCTATGCCCTGGTTGACCTTCATCTTCACACCCACAACAATGAGGTTGGTAATACACGGATGGACACAAGCGGCTGGTCTCGCAAGGTGGCGTACGAGGCGACAGGAGAGAAACGGTACATCCGTTACATCGAGGACTGCGACTGGCACGCCAGTCTATCTCATCTAGGCATGTACGGGTCAAACTACTACAGTTACTTATGGTGTAAGGTGCGCCCCTTCTGGTCTTCTTGTCCTTCCTCCTGTGGTTGTTCTGCTTTCAGACTGGATTGCATATCAGGTGATCGCTTCCTTCATCTGGAAGCACGTCTTCGAGCGCAACAAGTCTCAGCCGCTGGCTGGGCTCCCTCTTATCCTCAAATTTCTCAGGTGCTGCTTGAACCTCCGCTTCCTCCACCTCCTCATCTTCTCTCCAGCCACGGCGGTTCCAAGGACCCCAATGAGATGATAGGAGAACTCTTGGAGGACGTGCTGCACCGCAAGGTAGACGCCCCACTAGCAGAGGTTGAGATCATCTTGATCTTTTCTGCAGAAAACGTCATGCCAGCCCATTCTACAAGATGAAAACGATGTGAAGCTGCTCTGCAGTGCTTTCTTACATGATCTGAAATCCGTCGAAGACTAGACACAAGTACTTAACCTTTTCCTTCGCCTGTGAATGTCGATGAATACGAGAGAGAGAAAGGGGGGGACAGAGGGAGGGAGGGAGGGAGGGAGGGAGGGAGGGAGGGAGGGAGGGAGGGAGGGAGGGAGAAGTCAAAGGCATCACCAAAGTCGTCCTCCTCATCCTCCTCGTCGAGGTCCTCGTCGTTGTCCTCAGCCACATCCGAAGTGAAGGCATCCTTGTATCGGTCGTTCTTCTTAATGTTGTAAGTGTCTAGTCCTGAAAGCTCCTGGTTCTCCAAGGCCTCGAAGAAAGTAGGATTGCCTTCTTTGATCTCTTCAACGCTTTCTCTCCCAATCCTGCGCGGAATCAGAAACGCTTTTACCATGAGATGAGACCTCTTCAAGACGAGATGATACAAGGCTGGTCCAAAACTCCTCGAAATGATTTCAAACGAGAGATATATGATGAAAGAGATGTAGAAGAAAAATGACGGCGCCTTCGAAAACTTGGTGACAAACATGGTTCCAAGGCCGCTCATCACATCCTCAACAAAGATCTTCTTGAAGATCGAAGGCAGCCCGAGGGCCGTGATGTCATCAGCCTCGATGTACCCGAAAAACCAGGAGCCGAACGCCAGATGAATCAGTGTTCCAACCGACATCATGTTGGTACAGAAGACAGCCAACTTCTCGTCGTACTGCGCCGGTTTCTTCACTGCCCTCAGGATGGCGATCTTATCGCACCAGTAGGCAGTCACGAAGAAGACAATGCCGAAGAAGTAAAGGGTGGGTATGGACGAGGCGTAAGTGAAGATGACAAACATGATGTTGAGCATGGAGCCATATCGCTTCGAGAGCAAGTACTCCGGGCCCTCATACAGCCGATTGAGCTCACGTTGAGTCAGCTTCCTCTCCTTCAGCAGCTGCTGCATCATCTGTGCTGGGGTCAGGACTAGTAAACAAGAACAGAGATGTCAAAAACAGCGAAACCAAAGACATAGAAACCAAGCTCTTAGCCTCTTATCCTCTTAGCTTCATCTTACCACTGCCTGCGGCCATTTCGCTAATGTTGTCAAATTTGGCGTGAAAGACGCAGTGACTGTTTGCATGAAAACCTTTTCTCCGACAAGAGCATACCAATCGCTGTTTGTGTCTTTCATTGTTCCAGGCAAGCTTTGCAGTAGGTTCGTGATCCCCAGAGTCTTCTGCAGCTGAGGATTGACAACTGAACTCCACTCGCCGTTGACCAGCATAACAAGCAAAGCTGCGTCAGACACGTCATTTGACATCAAGTCACGGAACAAAGTATAACCTGTATTCACGTATTGTGCAATGAAAATGAATTTTGCGATCCTGGTTTCCAACCCGGATATTGTATGGGGCTTTGTGAAGGCCGCAAGAGTGTTGAGGATTCTCTCGAGAAGCTGATTGATAGCCAAGATGGTAACGACGGCTACGATGGACATAATCTGAATCAGCCTTTCGTTGTTGACGTAAGCTTGGCAGAACTCAGGCTGTGAAGGAAGCATGTTCCCATACTGGGGAGCACAGTAACACATCAGATAAGCTTGGTATATCTGGTTGGATTGCGAGTACCTGTATATTTGCTCAGACTGATCCTAGTTTACACCTTGTGCATTACCTGCTCCACATGATTTGTTCTTGAACATTCGGATCGTCAATTTTGGGACCATTCAGACACACCAGGTTTCCTCCTGCAACTTGAAGTTGACTTTGCTGGATTTGGACAAACAGGATGATGAGCAGCGATCCTATCAGGAGGCTGACGGTGATGGCATTTGCAATCATGTTTCGCCCAATTGAATCAAGGCCGCGGTGCTGCAGGTTTTCCCAGAGGACGTTCGAAGGCTCCGGAGCTCGCTTCACCCTCAGATGATACTTATTGCGGAACTTCTTCACTTTGGAGTTTGGAAAGAATCTACTCAACAGTCCAGCTGTATACGCTTGAACACAATCTGTCTGGCCCTTGTCCTCGTTGAAGGTGACAAAAGCGCAGATGGATTTGAAGTCTGACTTGGCTCGCAGCTTTATGATCTGCTCATCGAGATATCGCTGCCTGCAAACCTACCAGTTATTCGCTCTCACACAAAGCAACTCTCACCTTTTCTTCATCTTCTTCAGTTTCTTTTGTAGAGGCTGCAATTTGTATCTGGGATCAAAGGTGTCAAATTTACAACAAGGCACAAAGCGAAGGTGTAATTTACAGCTTCAACTTAGCGGTCTGAACTTCTATAGCGAAATCGTTTTGACCTCGCCTTTGGAATAAGTCTATCAGACGTCCGTTGTTCAGACCGATGGCTACGTCAGCGACTTCGCCATATCTCGAGAAAAATGCACGAAACTCTTCTGGGTCAGTGGCGTCTGTTGGAATATTTTCGACGAGAATAGTATAGTCAGCAGCTGAGATAGTTTCATCGTCAAGAAGCTTAATGTTCCTGTCTTGAGACATCTTGAGAAACCAAGTTGCTCCTATCAAGATTACAGTGATAGCCAGATCGATACATGCCAAGATCAAGCTCAGAGTCTTCAATCGAATAGCAAAGCAAGCTCCAAAAATACAAAGCGGTGGTGAGGGAAGAGTTGGATACTGTTGAGACCATCCGGTTCCTATGTTGCCAAGACTAGTACGGATCTGTTGAGGGACATCATTCCGGTTCGAGTACTCTTTGCCCCAGCTGTTTCCAATCAATGAAGGAATGCAGATGAAAGCCATCACGGTCGAGACCACAGTCATGTATCGGAGGTATGAGAAGTACAGCCCTACACCTGTTCCTAATTGCCCCAAATCGATGGTGGAAGTCTTCCAGAGTGGGTAGAGTTGGACGTTATTCTTTCTAACTTGGTTTCTGTTCTGTTCTAACATGGCAGTCTTAAGGCTTGGTTTTTGCCATTCCCCGCCAGTATCATGAACGTACTTGGCGTTCTTCTTCAAGTACCTTTGGCGCTGCAGGGCGACGTAGAGCACAAAGACGATGACCGAGACTGAGATGGCGACGTTCTGCCTCAGAAGTTTCTGTGCACTGATGGGCGTGACATACTCAACGACAAAGCAGCTGTTCGGGTCACAGCTCTGCAGAGTCTTAGCCGAGTCGATCCCGTTCATTGCCACTGACATCTGGCACGACCCTGTGGTCTCATGAAACTGACCAGGGACGCTCGGAGGTTTGCAAAGCACCCGACTGGTCGCCTCGAAATAATGAGAACCGAAGACTGTGAACGTCTGTGACACTGGCGGTGGAGATTTGCACGGCAAGTCGTTGCAGAGCGCCTTGTAGGTGCACTTGAACAAGGAGGAGTTCCTGAAGTACTGTCCCGATACAGTGACCACTGCATTTGCGCCGTTGGCTGCGTTCCATTTTCCGTTCTGAAATTGAGGAACACTCTGAGCTGGCTCAAAGGTGGACTCGCGATAGAAGGTGAAGGTATTCTTCAACTCAGAGTTCTGATTGTACTCAACGGACGTGAAATCACCGATGCAGCCGCACCTCTCAAAGCTGCTCGTACAAGGCTGGCAGGGATTTGTAAGCTTTCCCACAGAGTTCCTGAGGCAACATATTGCATTTAGTGAAACCTGAATCTCCGTGGAGTAGTACATGTCCTCTGACCTTTGACTCCTTGTCACTTTGCTGCCGTCAGCCTCGTACTGTTGACAGAACGGGCCTTCGGGGCAGCCACAAGTGGAGCATTGGTTGGTGAATGGACACGAGATCCACTTGCTGCAGCCCGTCCAGGAGGGGTCAAGGCTCGAGCTCCCGTCGCAGTAGGTCGATGGAGTGCACAGGTTGGCGATAGACGGGCTGACGCATTTGACAAGAGAGTCGTTGAGAAACACTCCCTGCACGTCCATCACGATTGACGGATCGTTGACACCCACAAACCTGCAGGCGGGTTGACTTGGCAGCTGAAAGAAACCACTTCCATTGACAAACACCACAGTTTCACCCTTGGAAGGGCCCGAGAAAGGAAAGATGGAGTAGACCTTGGGGTTCTCATAGAAAAGAAAGAGAACGCTGTAGTCCTTGCCGAGACTGGGAGAAGTAAAGTCCACCTCGTTGAGAGAGACGGCAACATCCACGTAGCCAGCAAAGAGACTTGCCGGCGTCGTACAGATGACAGCTGTGTCTAGCATCACCACAGCCTCCACCACTGATCGACCGAACTTGCACTTAGGTGTGCGAATCGGATCACTGAAGGCACCAAAGCCCGAGCCCGTCACGGTGACTCGCGTGCCCCCGTTGAGAGGACCTCCCGTCGGCTGCACCTTCAAGACCTTGGGATGTTGGTAGTAGATGAACTGCTCAGAAAGCAGCGATCGGAACAGCTGATTGCTCCTTCCCCAGTCTGTGACAGGCTGACCTTCGTACCAATTGGTGTAATGAGGAACAATCTTGTTTTGAAAGATCCAGTTGGGCTCATCCCAGGGAAAGTAGGTCATGTCGCATCGGATGTTCTTGGAGGGGTCATTGGGTGCCGAGGGGTCAGGTTTGCTGTCAGAAGGAGAGATACAGAAGTTCCTGCTGCCCGCCGGCTCGTACGTCTGATTGTTGAGAGCGATCGAGATGCCGATTCCTCTCGTGTATTTACCCGTTAGCTTCCCGTTGGTCTTCCAGGTGACTCTCTGAGCATTGGTGAGAGGGATTGCAGAGTAAGCAGAAGGAGACATGGCGACAATCTCACTGTCGGATATGATTCCTCCTTGTGTTTCCACCTTGATGTCATCAATCGCCCAGTTATCATAGTCTCCTTGACCATGTAGCGCTTGCTTGAACATGATCCTCGTCTTCTGATTCCGACACGGCTTGGACCAAGGACATTGCAGCAATGGTTTCGTTGATCCAGAGCCAAATGAATTTTTGCGGACATATCGAACACCGCGACTATTCTGAAACAACTTGTGAGACACAAAAGTGAATGACTCGTACTCCTTGGTGTTGAAGACAGCCACTCGATTCCAATTCTGGATTTGGCTCCACTCAGGAGGTGAATCGATAGGCGCGTATTTGATTTGGACGGTAAGCTGGACAGGAGCAGAAGTGAGGGCATCAGGTAAGAAACAGTTGAGAGCCCTGATCTTGTCCTGACTGGCAAAATTGAAGGGTGCGACAGTGCAGTTGACATGCTCTTGAACGGAGCACTCGCACTGGTTGGGGCATGGAGGCAGTTGGCAAGAAGTTGAGCTCACGCAATGACATTCCTGCATGAAAACAACTCGGGATCCTTTAGTAAAGGTCTGCGTGGGTGCCGTGAAGACTTCAAGCGGGATAATCATTTGGGACATTGTTGAAGGCTGCTTGTCCAGCGCTGGAATGCCTATTCGCACAAACTTGTAATCGCTTATGTAGTCAAATGACATCATGAAGTCTCTTTGAGAAGAATCAACCATCATGGAAAGTTCACACTGAGGAACCACGTACTGGAGATAGGTTATATTCTTTGACAACAATGAATATTGGAGTGTGACTTGTGACTTGTAGGCATTAGGAACCGTCAGATTGCTAACATTGTATGCAGAACAGACTGAAATATTGATGACGGGAACTGCACTACAAGAGTCACACTGCACATTCGCATGAAACCTCCCTGATTCAGAAATTTGCAGCAAGGTAAGGTCGTCTGCAACGTCTGGAGCCTCGCAAGATAGCGGAGAGGTCTGATTTCCCCTTTTCACCCAGAAAGAAATGCCGTATCCCCGTGACAAGTCCATCTCCTTGGACACGATGTACCGCCCAGCAAGTGGAATCAGGTTAGAGCCAGTGAAGTAGAGGGATCTGCTCTGAACAGGCGCAGGTAACACCGTGGTCTGCCCGGGTAGGTAGGCGACATCTACCTTAAGCCGAGAGTTCTCAAGATCCATACCTTGACATTTCGAATTTGAAGCTACCGATGTGCTGAAATCCCACATGGTTTCGTCATAAGAGTAAGGGCTAGTCTTCAAGAACCAGTCATTCTCCAGCACAGAAGCTTTTTGAGAGATTTGATCGTTTGGAATGCTAAAGGGAGAGACGGATGCAGGGCTCGGATCGAAATCATCCCACAACGAAGTGCCGCCCTTGTACTCTTCGGGGAAAGTTCGGTAGTTGCCCCACTGAACCCGCAGGTCTCCGTTGTTGTACCGATTGAAACCCTTCCCTCGAAAGGTCACCAGCGTTCCTCCATCTGCAGGGCCCCCAAGGGGACTAAAGGTAGAGAATTCAGGTTGAAGGTAATACCTGAAAGAAACATTGCTCGTTAGAGTGAAATCTTGACCATTAAGAGCAATTTCCACCCACACATCGTAAATACAGTACAAGCAGTTTTTCTCAAATGTAATCTTTGGCCAAGGAGTGTAACACTTAATCAGTCTGTCCCCTAAGACTGTTGCTGTGGTAACCAAATCCTGAAACTTGCATAAAGGATTTCCAGCATAATTCAGAAAGCCAATTCCAAAAATCTCAACGGTCGTGGGTTGCTTATGAGCTGAATCTGCTGTTTCATAACGGATGAGCGGACCTCCAGCAGGCATTAGAGAGAAAATGTTAGGATCCAAGTAGAAAGAAAACAAGTTGTTTGTAGATTCCGTGTAGTCCTGTCCGTTAAGTGTGATTGTCAAATCGATTGTTTGACCAAAAATTTCAATCGTTTGAATGGTTGGCATTCCAAATCTTTTGGTCAAGTACTCTAGCAAGACTCCATTCCGCACTGACTCGATGATTTTCAAAGAGTCTTCCACATTTGCATCGGTGACATTTCCGTACACGCAATGCACACAGAAAGCAACATCAATGCTACCAATGTTCGGTGCTGTATTCGGGGTCTCACGGACGAATTGAATGACAACGTCACTAGGTAACACCAGGATATCTCCATAGACGTTTCTAGTTCCTACGACTTCAGCTATGGCAAGCTTGAAAGCTTGAGTGCGAGCGAATGTATTGAAGGAACACAGCTGGGCATCGCACATGGCAGGATCATTCGGATACTGAATACAACGAGAAGTGCAGCTCACCTCCGAGCCTGAAAGCGTCACGACGATGAACGGAGGGGTTTGACAAACTATTTCATTGTCTCTTTGCTCCGCACTGACTGGAAGGTAAGCTGCCCTGGTCCATATAGTTGTTCGAGCACCGAATCTACATCTCATATCCTCACTGAAAACTTGAAACCCTCTTCCAAAGACTTTGATTTCTGCGTTTCCACGAAGAGGGGATCCAGCAGGAAGTATAGATAAGAGGACAGGCTGAGAGTAGTAGACATACGGACAACCATTCAGTCTTGTGATGTTACCAACTGTGTATGGCACAAGTGCGGGTATTTGTTTGGCTGTAGTTCTGAAATCTGACCATATCACGTTTCGTCCTTCAGAGCTGTTGTAACAGAATCCTTGCTCTAAATTATAGTCTTGACCATTCAGAGTGACTGAGAAGGGTAAATTTGCTTCCACTTTGTTCGGAGGAGACTTGCAGATGATCATACTACCGGAAGCAACCGTTGCTTGAGATGTCCAGTTGGTGAGGGGAAGATAGCGCGCATACAGATCACTGTACTGACGCTCCATTCCAAAACGGCACAATACGTCTCCATTGAAAGCAGCAAAGCCCTCGCCAAAAACGGTCACAACTGTCCCTCCTTTCAAAGATCCCCCAGAAGGTTTCAATCTGTGAATGGACGGTTGAACATACAACAGATAATTCAAACTAGCAACATCTGTGAAGTCTCGTGCATTTAGAGATACATCGACTTTCACAGCATGAGCTTGATTGCTAGGAGCTTGACAACGTAAAAGTGTGCTTGATAAATATGACGCAAAAACCGCATACCGGCTCAGATCTGACGTAAGATGAAGACTTCCATAGTATGGAGATGATGTTTTCACTGACTCCAGGGAAACAGTCTCATTGCCAAATCGACAGGTAATGCTTGATTGATTGAACACTCGATTTGATGCTTGCAGAAGAGATGGAGCAAGGTATACTGGAGGGTTAAAACCTGTTTCATTGATGAACCAATTTGTGTTTGGCGAATCAATCTCATTATACAGGTTGAATCCGATTCCTCGAATGATAATCTCGGTGCCTCCCAGTGTTGGACCTCCCAAGGGATAAGAGGACAGCAGAATTGGTTCTGGATAGAAGAAAAATTGCTTTCCTACAGAGCTGAGCCTTGTCAAAGGTGGTGGACTCCTCGGCCAATCACTGTAAGGGAAATCAATGTAGTCTTGAGCATTGAAAGTCACAGTGAAAGGCATGGGAAGTCCTCCGCTACCGCTTATATTGGCAGCAATGATGTTGTCATCGTAGGTTGAAAGGTTTCCATCCTTTCCGGGAAAGGACGCACCAAGAATGGTTGGGTGAATCGCTTTCCGTCTCTGCTCCCAATCTCTTATTGCATTGTCTATCTCAGTTTGAAGCTGCGCAATGGCAGCAAGAGTCGCGCTAGATGGCAATATGCTCTGTGCTTGCACTAACACCGCTTGTTGCTGCTTCAACGTAGCAATATGATTTATCATCTGCTGATTCTCATAGATATCTATTTTGCGAGGAGCATCGTAAGGGATGGTGGGAATGGGGCAAACAAGAAGAGTGTCGTTCACTATCCATGCTGAAGTATTTGTCTGAAAAGAATAGCTTATCCAGCCTGGAAATGTCGTACTGTTTCCAACAGAAACAACAGTCTGTTTTCCAAATTGACACATGGGAAACCACTGAAACTGTTGGAAACCTTTTCCATACACAAAGACGTACTTTCTTGAGTTCAAAGGACCACCATTTGGAGTGAGGTGTGATACTATTGGTTGCCTGTAGTATCTGTAGTATAATGCTCCGGAAGCAGGCAACGAGCAATCCACATCCAGACAGGAAGGGTAGACATCTTGTCCATTCAGTTTCAATCTGAAAGTGGCATCGTACAGAGAAGAATCCAATTGAGGGGTATGAGGAGGTGCTGAACATCGCAGAGTGAAATCGTCTACCCTTTCTGCTCTGCTCTCACATGCCTCGATGCATGAAATAACCACTTGTGTGGTGGTATTGAAACCTCGAAAGCTTGGAGTGTACGGCTTAGAATATGATGGAAGAAAATTCATGATTCCAGTCTCTCTGTTGTATGTTGGACACCCTGTAGAGTTGTATGCAAGAGCGCATAAAAAAATTGTCCCAAAGTGTATGATGTCAAACACGTGTGCTGGGTATGGCTGGTCGAAAGCAAAGACATTTTCACTGACGAACCTTCCATTTAATGGTAATGAATGCCTGGCATTGCCCGTTGTACATTTTGGGCCGATACTGTTAGCATAATCACTATATTGACATCCCCACACACAGATAGAAAGCCCCTCAATTGCTGGGCGGAAGCCAGAACCTCGTACTTCAACAGTTGTACCACCAGCAAAAGGGCCTCCATATTGTAAATTGATTCCTTGCGACGGCGAAAATGACGTGAGATTCGTGAGAAAACGTGGAGCAGAAAGTGAAGAAAGGCTTGGATTCTCATAGTACTGAAAGGTCGACGTAATATCACCGTAATCAGCGCCGTTCAGGCTTACTCTTACGTTCACATTTCCAATGACTAGGGGGCAATCTGTACATCGATCCTGCCTGTTTGCTCTGTTGGTGGGATTTATTGACGCCCGTACAATGCCCTTAATGCAGGTGGTACTGGTATCAAAAAGCCCAGCGCATTGACATTGTAGATCAAATCCGGGAGGGCAAAGGTTCACACAAGCTCCATCGTAAGGTAAAATGCCACTATTTGATGGACCGGAGGGAGGAGACACTGTTGTGATCAGCGTGCTCGTGATGATACATCCACGCATCCAGTTATTTCCAGAATCACCAAACCGAACTCTGACATCATTGGCTGTTTTGATGTCGAAGCCGTAGCCAACCAGTAAGATGTAACTTCCTCCTGTTATTGGTCCAAATTGTGGAACAACTTTTAGAACTGCTGGTAAACTGACATACTTGAAAGTAAATATTTTTTGTGTTGGGAGCATTAGTTTTTGTTTCCACCAAATTGTAAGATTCCGAGGAGTACTCAGCTTATCAAGATTATTTTGCATTGCTGCCAAATCTACCTTTCCATTGCTGCTGTATATCTGGACGTCTGGTGTCATGCAAATAAGCCTTACACTGCTGTATCGAGTTGCAGGCATTCGGAGTACTTGTATTGAAGCATTCATCAAACTTCCAGGGTACTGACTGTAATGAGTTCCATTAGAGTACACACTGAGACGACATTCCAAATTCCCAAGAAAGGTATTAAAGCCTTGTCCGATCACGTAGAGAGGGGTACCTCCATTTACTGGCCCTGTATCAGGCGAGTAATCTAGAATGTAAAACCCCTCGTCTTTGCTGCGGGTGATGGTGTGGCTGCTGCCGCTTGCAACGCTCGTTGTGTTCTTCCCATACAGAGAGACGAGTAAGTGCGGGCTAGTTATTAAATGGCCCCATAAGTCCGGGGAACCAATGCCAATCTGTCCGAAAGTATTCAAACCCCACGCGTAAACATTCAAATCTTTGCTGATGACATAAGAGGTGTAATCTCCTGCGAAAACTCTGATTCCAATGTTGCTGATGGGCATCAGCGGCTCACAATCAGCGGACGTGTACCCAACCGTTTGGTTTGCAGGGCCACAATCTCGGCGTTGAAGAGTGTCAGTGCATCTGCGGCCGCAGGGAGTTCGAACCTTACTTCCAACGCAAACATAGTCGGCAAAACTGGGTGAGACTTCTGATCCAAAAGGGGTATCACACCATATACGATTTGGAATCGGGACGAATGAGATTGAAGATCTGTCGATCGAATTGCCAACACCGAGCTGACCTGCGTCATTACGACCAGAGCTAAATACATGTCCAGAAGAGTTCAAAAACAGAGAATGCCCATGCCCTGCCGCTATCGAGATGACAGGCCCCAGCATTTGGAATTCCTTTCCTTGCAGCTTTACAGGAGCAAACCGATTCAACTTGTCACCAAGCCCAAGTTGTCCATGCCTATTTCCGCCCCAGATCCAGATTTCACCGTCCTTTGAAAGAGCAATGCTGTGCAACCAACCAGCAGCGACCTGTACAATGAACTGGTCCTTCAGTCCTGGCACGAGAATAGCTTCCAGCGATCTCCTCGGCTCAACAGAATTGGGACCGATATCCAAAGAGTCCTGACCAAGTTGTCCAGATGAGCCAGAACCTACCGAAAAAGATCAAGATAGGAAGCAAGTATGCTATCTTTACCCCAGACATATACTTTTCCCAAGGACGTAACGGCCATGCTATGTTCTCCCCCAGCAGAAACTTGGAAGAATAAAAGATCCTTTGAGTTTTTTGTTGGGGTAGGCTGGAATCTATCCGCTGTGTCCCCTGTGCCAAGTTGTCCCATATGATTGATTCCCCAAGCAAACAAAATTCCACTCCGCGAGAGAGCAAGCGTATGGTGATTGCTATGAGAAGGATGTTTCAGGAAAGGAAAAGGCAAATCAATCAGGGAAAACGTACGATGAAGAGATTTGTATGATTTCTTGCCCAAAAAGGTCATTTATTTCGGCAGGAAATCTGAATTTTTGATGATCAGGGCACAGCTTTGCACAAATGTGAATAGAATTACGTAAGTTTCACAGATTTCTCGACGGAGCAAGGCGGATAGGTGCATAGATTGATTCCTGCATCAGTCAATCCCAATTGCCCCCGGTAATTTCTACCCCAAGACCACAATCTTCCTTTTAGAGAGGATGAAACGGAAAACTCTTCGCCTGCTGCAACCGCGCTCATGTTTTGATTCCTCAGTACCTTCAAAACTTCAGATCTCGTGTTACTGGAAAATGCAGAACATTCACCGGGACGATCATTGGAATGACCGTATTGTTGAGGGAACCTGTACCTTCGTGGGGATCTCAATCAAGAAATGAGTAGAAAGGGTCTTACCAAGTTGACCAAAGTTATTTGATCCGAATCCGTACACATCGCCTTCATTGATGGTTAACGTTGAAAAGGGATTTCCGTATCTGCATATAGCTTCAATGGAACGTGATGAAGAAAACTGAATTACAATAGAATCTCATCGCTACTGAGGTTGTGCATTCCGATGTCGACATATGCCCCAGTAGACAGTAAATTGCGTCTAGTGCTCAAATTGAAAGCCCAATCGTTGCTTTCGAAATCAGTCTGCCACAAAGATATGTGAATACCATTTACAAACTTGCGAAAACATCGCAGACAAGGATGTGATACCTCTATCTCCTGGGATCTCATGGCATGTAATCTTCGATTGTAATGTGAAGTCCTCTCTTCATTTGTAGAGCACACACCACCAAAAATGCTCAACGAAAACAAAAGAAACAAGAATTCCGTAGGCGCTTTCATTGATTATTGAGTTGTGTCATACAGGTTGCATCTTATCTCAAGCCAAATGTGGATTGACATTGAGATCGGCAAGACAACCCGCCCGAGCCAAGTGAAGCATCAACGGCGAGACTTCCGCGGACTCTACAGCAGCCATGGCGGCTTTGCCATATCTACGTTGTCCTACTCCTGGGCGGGCCTACACCGTGGCGAATTTGTTGTGGACCTGTTTGTAGTGGACCATTGCTGTCCGCCGAACGACTGCAATACTAGCCTAGGCCTAACTGAGATCGGGTCTTGAATGAAGCGAGTCACTGAGTTTCAAGTTTAGTGACTGGGCCAGTGCCGGACTCCGGGAGCCTGCAGTGCCGCCGCCGCCGCCCGGCCGGCAACTGACAAGTCACCGCGGCCGGGTCGTGAGACTCAAGTGTTGTGCCACGGTGTAACGGGAGCCTGGGAGTCCGTCACTCAGGCCATCAGTCTCGTCATGTGACGATGCGGTGCCACGGTGTACACGGCCCGACGGTCACCGGGCTATTACCGGGGGGCAGTGAGCCCCGCGTACTACGGGCGGGCGGCCGCAGCGGCACAGCCTAGCACTGAGCCAGTGAGGTACTGTGATGGAGCGTATGTCAGCCGTGCCAGTCAGATAGCGCCGAGTTAACAAAAACTCTCCTGTAAACCAAGACGACTTACGTGTCAAGGCGGCAATGTAGTACGTGTGATGAAGAGGAGGCCTTCCTAGCCGTCTTGCTAAGGTCCCCTCATGTCTGGATGCTTGGGTTTCACATCCTAGCATACAGTCTATCTCTCATGTGCTCCTCAATTCTGGTTTTTGTGTGCATTAAACTCGGTCTTGAGCAAAAACTGTCTTGTTACAACTAAGGTCGATATGATATCTGCGTGACTTTGGACTAGTACAAGTCTAACAAACTTGTATTCCGTCGGTTATGAGCCTCGATTACATGCTCAATCATGTTGATCTTATATTTGGTTAGTTGAATTGTTTACTGGAGTTTTTTCTTTCTTGGTATCGTTTCGTTACTGTCGAAAATTCATGCAATTCAAGCCTTACAAATTCGGATGACTCCTCTCTTCAATCAGGCTCTCTCTCTAGCCGCAAGTTGTTTAGGCCTCTCATCTCAGCCTCAATTTGTTTGATTGATCTTCGAATTGGAAAAACAAGCCTTCCCCAGCCAGATTGGTCGGTCGAATATCTGCTTAACCGTGTGGAAACGCACTTGAAGCTGATTCGATTTTAATCTTCTTGATCTTTGAGTAGGATCAAATGGAACTACCAGGAGATCTGGCGGAAGTTTCATGTCATGGAGCTAGGCTGTGGCATGCATAACTGGAGCTACTTCTGGATCGGCGAACAAGGTACAACTGCACAACAATCTTCGAATGCCTTGAAACGGATGTTCCATCTCGCGGCAGCAATCTCTGGTCACAAGTTCTTTACGGTTCAAAATTTATCTTTTGGTCTTCAAATGCCGGCGGGCACGCTCTCTCTCTCTCTCTCTCTCTTATCTGAACTCCGAAGTTCTCTCCTCAGACTCTCTTATCTTATCCTCCTTCTCTCGTCATTGCATCAGCTCGCCAGGCATCTCCCTTATCTCTGCACTGCACATCTAATAGCCCTGCATGAAAATCTTCTTCAGAATGGACAATCCTTGAATGGTTATTGCCCACTCAGCATGACTGTGAACTTGACGTTGTATCATCGTATCTTGACTTGGATCTGCTGACATTCTTGTTTGCGTGACTTTCTGACGTCCGATGTAACGTACTATTTCAGAAACTCGGGGGGAGGATGGAGCGTATGTCAGCCGTGCCAGTCAGATAGCGCCGAGTTAACAAAAACTCTCCTGTAAACCAAGACGACTTACGTGTCAAGGCGGCAATGTAGTACGTGTGATGAAGAGGAGGCCTTCCTAGCCGTCTTGCTAAGGTCCCCTCATGTCTGGATGCTTGGGTTTCACATCCTAGCATACAGTCTATCTCTCATGTGCTCCTCAATTCTGGTTTTTGTGTGCATTAAACTCGGTCTTGAGCAAAAACTGTCTTGTTACAACTAAGGTCGATATGATATCTGCGTGACTTTGGACTAGTACAAGTCTAACAAACTTGTATTCCGTCTTACTGCGCCTTTACTCAAGGTTAATTTCAAGATCAGAGGACAATCATGATCAGGAGAGTCACGAGTCGAGGAGCCAGTCATCGGCAGTCACTGAGTGGCCGGGCCTGAGACCGGCCCGGCCGGACGATCGGTCGGCGTCCCGGCGGTCACGGTTGACTCCCCGGCGGGCTGTTTTTTGAAAATTCTACCACGCCTACCCGCAGGACGAGATGGCCGATGCGGAAGTGGACATACTCTTCAACCAGGTTTGTTTGTGTCATCCATCCTGCTTGTCCCTCTCTCCTTCATCACCCTCCATCTCCATTCTTCACCTCTTCTGCTGTTCATCCCTTCGTTGTTCCCGAATAATCTCTCAATAATCCTCTCGAGCGTTTCTATTACAAATTCATATCTCATCCTTCCCACCCATGCTGCTTTGTGGAGCTGCATTACATTTCCAACTGCGCTTAAGTACTCCTTTAAGGATGTGGCAAAGATAAAGAAGTTGCTTCCTTCAGTTGAGGTTCGCCATCACCGGATCAGAGTACAGAAGTATGGTAGAGTGCACGTTTGCTTGAGTTGATGTATGCTGGTTTCCCAGGTGGATCTCGGCACTCAGCGAGCCTCTAAAATGCGAAGCCTGGAAGAGAAACAGAAATTTGTACAGTCAGTGTCTAGTTCGGATGCTTGAGATGTATCACATTTCCCATCGAGTTTACCCGGCTCACTGACATCCATGCTCAGCGGCACCATCGAAGAGCCTTTCATCAAAATCCCTCCCCTTCCTCTTCAGAACTTTCCGTCACACCTTGTAGGAAGATGGAACCTGGTTGATCCCTACCGACTCTGGAACTTCGTTTGCCTGACCAACTGAAGCAGGCAACCAGGAAAAGTGCTGGTTCGCCAACAGCAGGCAAAGAGGCTTGGAAACATGTATGTGTGTGAGTGTTCCATGCATCTCGTTGACCTTGTTTATCATCCAGACAAGGCCTTTGAGCTCCCTCTCAATGAGCAGCGCCATACAGGACGAAAACTCTCCTCCTCCTGGCCAACCTCGTCGCCTCTGGACTAGCAACTTTTGCAATGTGACGGAGGTGTTGTCCCCTCTCAATCAACTCCGCGTGATTGACCCTACAGCATGGTTTGACCAAGCATGCCAAGGTTTGCACCCAGACCGAAGGGCCCCAGGTGCTTTCAGCATTATCATCTACTTGGACAGGCACAAGAGACGACTGATTGCATCATCAAGCTCAAACAGGCAGATGCAAGCCACCTCCCCTTGAGTCTATGTCAGATCAGATCTTTGCCGCACGACCAACTCGTCCTCCGCATGCTGCAGGTGCCGCTCTGAACCTCTGATTTCTGTAGCTCACGTTTTCTCAGGAACAGAAACTTCGGCTCGCCGCTGAGCGCAAAGTGTCAGTGCTTTCCAGTGAGTGATGAGGATCGTCAGTTGTCAAGTTGCTGAAGTACGCGTAGAGAGCGGAAAGGACATCAAAGCATACCAGGGACAAAGACAGAGCTTCTTTCGCAACTTCCAGACAAGCAAAAAAACGCCTGAGCAAGAAAAACAAGGACAGCTGAATGGAGGGAGACTTGAGAAGGTTACATGGCCTCGGTTGCTTCCTGTGTCTTGCTTGTACGGCTCACAGCAGCGATTTTTTCCTGCAGTCTATCTCGCCTCAACCCTCACTCTCGATACAAGCAGCTTCGACTCAACACAGAAGGTATCTCCTCCTCGACACCGTCTGAATGCCGCGCTCGTCTTCCTGTCTCCTGCAGCATCTACATGCTTCCTATTCGCTCTTTCCCTCACTTTCCGTTCAGTGCAGATGAGAGCTCGCAGTCTCGGCGCTTCCTTGCTCCTGACCTCAAGCTCCTAGAGCGTGCGAAGGCTGCACCACAAGCAAGAATGACAGGACAAGGTGCAGGAGAGCCCGAGCATCTCGACGAGCTCGACAAGGATGAAGACTTTGCCTCCTTCCTCGCGGTGTTGTTGTATCATTACCGTGTAACTCTCTAAACTCCATGACAGGATTTTGAGAAAGACATAGTGAATCTGACATGTCAATTCAAACAAGTTCCGGCATGAAGATCAGATCCGTTTTGATACTAAAAACGATATGTTGTCCCCTCCAGGTGAAATAATGAAAGTAACTACACATGACCGTCCTTACAAGCTAAATGATTGTGGCACGATTATAATTGGGCTTTGGGATTCCAAATGTCTACAGAGCAATTTGGGCATGTATGCTGCACAAGATCGTGCGGGCACGAAAGGACGTCAAGAGCACAATGACGAGTTTCTGATTCCTTTGTACGCCGCTCTACTACTCAGTCTGTGGGAAGCAGAGCCCTTATCAGTGAAGCAGTTTTGCTCGTTCTCACATGTAAGGCGATTTAAGCTCGTATTGTTTAATGATGTTGTTCGAAGTGGCCGATAACTCCAGCAACTCCTGGAGGTCCAGCTGAACCTGTGCTCACAAATTCTTTCAGAGCCCGCAAAGATTCCAGCTCATTCGTCACCTGCCGGCCCTGCAGCCCCTGCAGCTCCCGGGCTTCCAGTTGGACCCGGAGGACCTGGAATGCCGTCTGGGCCTCGCACGGGAACACCGGCCTGTCCAGTGGGTCCCTGAAAAGATTTGAGCTTCTCAACATGGCAGAAGAGTCTGGAGAACCTGCGGTCCTTGTACCCCTCGTGGGCCCTCAGGTCCAGGAGGTCCAGGGGGTCCCATTCGACCAATTCCAGGGGGACCCTGCGATAAGAGTCAGGCTGACCGACTTCAGAGCAGGCCTCGTTACCTGCGGGCCTCGCGGTCCTGGTTCTCCATCAGGTCCTGCCAGGCCTCTAGGTCCTTGTGGGCCTGCCAGCCGATCAAACGAGGAGCCGAGCAGCAGGCAAACAGACCTGGAATGCCCATGTCCCCTCGGGGGCCCATGGGACCAGGAAGTCCATCTCGACCATCCCTGCGCAGCCAAGAGTCAGATACGCGGTATCTCTTGTTTCATATCCACCCACCTTCCCCTAGCTCCCTGGTACCCAGGAGGCCCGCGGGGTCCACGCGGCCCAGGAAGGCCTGTCGGACCCTGAGGTCCGGGCTTGCCGTCAAGACCAGGCTTTCCGGGAGCACCAGACGGTCCAGGCTGTTTCTCGAGGACTGCAAGCTTGACCTGACCACACCATCAACTTCATGTAGCTGGCACATGCTTCAAACTTCACCTTCATGTCGCTGACGCGTCTGGCCATTCCCACCTTTGCGCGACCAAGAGACGAGGTCAAAGAAGACACACGGGCTGACAAATAGTTATCCCGAGACATCATCTGTGCCTTGATAGCTGAAAGCCTCGTCTTGTAGCCTCGCAACGACTTCTTCAGTGCTCCAATTGCAGCCCAAAGAGCGCTGTTCGAGGATTCAAGCTCACGGCTGTTCTGTTCTTTGACCGCCTTGATGTTCAGTCTAGCCTTCTCGATCTCCTTTTCATTGAAAGCCTCCTTGTCCCCCGCCTTCTTGGCCTCAGCTAGGGCATCCGCTGCATTTTGCACGGCTTGGATTGTAAGAGGATGGGGTTCAACTGGAGTGACGGGCTGTGTGAACTGATAGTGAACCTCTGGTGGGCTGACTCCGTAAGGATCACATGGCGGACTCAAGCACGAGATAACAGAAGCAGTAGCCAGCATTTGGCGTCGTTGTGATGCTCCTGACTTGGCGTTACTCTGTAAAAGCTCCTCTCTAGGAGATCGCTGTGAAGAGAAATAGAGAAGATAGAGGAGGATAAAGGCATTGGTGAGGAAGAGGCCGTGGCGTAGGAGAGGGTGAGGGAAGCAGGAGAGGAGAATTTCGTCAGATCACAAAAAAACCAATATCCCATCCCATCCCATCCCATCCCATCCCATCCCATCCCCTCCCCTCCCCTCCCCTCCCATCCATCCCATCCCATCCCATCCCATCCCATCCCATCCCATCCCAACACTTCTACATACCTGCAGTGTTCCCACGAGCACCAACATCGCGACCCCTACCGCCGCTGCTCCACCCCATCGCAGCATGCCGCGAAGAGACAGGCAGCAGTTCATTCACTGCCACCCCTTTAAAGAGTATACCACCCGTGATAATTACCAAATTTTCTGGGGAAAACACCCCGTGAAAAGGAACACTCTAGTAGCACCACCCCCTTTTCCTGAGGGGTCTAGTCCGATACTTCAAATCGGGACTCATACAGCTCATCCTCTTTTTCAAGCCGCCCTCAGAGTTGATATGGAATGCGGCTTTTGCTCAAACCGGCCTTGAGACAAGTGAAGTGAACGATGGCGAGGAGGATGAGGGAAGTCAGAAGGTGTAGAGGACCCGATAGGACATTTCATCATGAGAGTCTCAATTTGAACTTGTTTCCATCTTTCGTTTAATTTGACTGAAAGCTACCAGGTCCTGCGGCGATGTCTTTTTCGGACAGGGCTTGAAAATGTCGAAAGCCAACAAGAGGATTCTTCTTGTCCTCGATGTAAACGGATTTCTATTAGAACGAACGCGAAAGAAACTCCCGAACTTGCCCTGCGTGAAAGTTCGGAGTACTTACGTGTATAACCGACCTGGAATGATGGAATTCGTAAAGTGGTGCACTGAACTGTTTGTACTCGGCGTATGGTCTACAGCAAAGCGAGAGAATGTTGTCGAGCTGGTCAAACACATCTTCGGCACGAGCTACCATCAGGACGTTGCATTCATTCTCGATGGCTCCTCCTGTACACCGACCGGGCTGAGACATCCTGAGAACAAGTACAAGGAACTCGTGACCAAGGACTTGGAAACTGTTTGGAGAATGCCAAACATGTCAAGTTTCGCCAGGAATCGTACTCTTCTGATTGATGACAGCCCCTACAAGGTGCCGTACGGCATGTGGGCTTCCAAGAAAAACACCTAACCATTGTTGGTTTGGTCGCGCAGGCGGCGTTCAATCCCGTGGGCACTGCTATAAACCCTCCTCCATGGAACGTGACTGATATGAACGATACTGGGCTGATGCCCGGCAGCGACTTGCGAAGGTGCTTCTGATTCCTGTCGAGCCTCCTTCACTGTCCTTGGCAGATTCCTCGAAGATTTGGGTAAGGAGGGAGAAAACGTCTCTGTTCCAGACTTTGTGATCAAGAACGATCCTTTCGAAAGCGTGAGGGCCCTCAAGACAGGTTCCCCGCCAAGTCTGTGTCTGAAGGATCTGATCCCTGAGTCAGACCCGCTCACCCTCAAGATCTGGTCGAGAGCCTCCAAGATTCCTTCTCGAGGTTCCCCAGCTCGACAACCAAAGGCAGTTGCAGCTGGAGCCGTCGCTCGCACTCAGAACGCTACCGATGACAGCACCGATCTCGTCGAGCTGCTGCAAAAACTTGACCTTAGCATTAGCACCAACCAGACTGAGCTGCCTGCAGCCTCGCAAGTCACCGCAGATAGGAACGAGACACGTACAGGACCGAAGGGCAGGAAGCCAGACATGGCGTTAGCTAGATCAGGGAGAGACGAGAGCAAGTGAGAGCAGAGGAGAAAAGAGTTCAGTTCGTCTTCATCCTGAGACCTCTAGCGAGAGTGCTGACATGTCTGCCTTGTCATACGTCACTTGGCTGCTGCTTGTGCCTGTGGCTACGAAAAATCTGGTCTTGATAGATTCCGCTGAAAGTGAGACATGGTGATAGGGAATGTTAGAGCACCAGCAGACCGAGTAGTAAACTTTGTCATAGTAACAGAGTGATGAAGCTTGTCATAGTATAAGAGTATAAGAGTGAATCTTGGTCATTAACGATGGAGACGAATCAAAGCGTAGGAGCTGGCGTTGTGTACAAGGCTTCACTCAAACAAAAAACAGAAACAAGAACGATGATTCAAGTAGACAGATGGTCAAGTGCAGGACATGATGAATACGTGCAACTGCACGAATAAATCGATGGTTCAGATCACTACGTCAGAGGATGCATTGTTTGCGGTGGGTACATGTGGAGTACATGTGATTGTGCAACGACCGATCCCGGATGTGGCAGGACATAGCCAAAGGCTACGAGCTCCTCTGCTGGGACGTTGAGATGGATCTGAAGGGGAGGAACAGAGGCCTCTTCTTCTGTGATCCCCGGGTCCCGCTGACTGCCGTCCGGATGCTTGATCGGCGCTCCCCCGTCAGCTTTCCGCTCGTCAATGCCAGTGACTGCTGCAAATCCGGGAATGTACAAGAGGAGGGCAGTGATGCCGATGGTGGGCATGCTTGCCCTGTGAGCAACCTCAGACACGAAGCCGAAGAACAAGGTGGCGGCTGCAGACACACCTGCATGTTGTCAGGACATCGACAGTAAATAAGGCGGCAGAGCTCACCAAGGGCGAGCAGAAAGTATTGCCACATGTAAGGCTGGCCGATCCACGCCCAGTTAGCTCCTGCTGTGACACAATCGATTCCAGTAGAGTTCAGTCCGAGAAGAGCTGAATCCCCGGCACAGCCGCATGCCTCGTGGTAGGGCGGGAAGAGAACGCCGTCGCGAGCCATCTGAACGCACTGACTAGGACCTTGGGTGATGCCATACGCAGAGACTGACAGGACGGCAGCAAGTCCTCCGAATATAAGCGAAGACTCAGAGACCACTCGCAGACCCAAGGGTGTGTCCCAGATGCCCCCGAGCATGACCGGAAAGAGCCAGCAAACTGCCAAGATACTAGGCAGCAGAAAGATTGACAGGACTGCATAGTTTGCAAGAGCAAATGGAACTATGATGACAGTGATTACAAGAACACACCCTCGAGCCCAGATCAGAGGCTTTCCCCTTAAGAACTGCGTTGAAATGGTTGCTGCTAGCCCATTCTGCACGCTATCGATGGCAGACTCGTTCATGACAGCTGCGAGCACAAGGACCAGGACTTCTATGAACTGATTGACATGCACGTTGTTTTGGTTCGGAGATGATTTGAACACCTGGAAGAGATACAGATTGGGATTTCCCGTTTGAAAGTCGATTAGTCCACCCCATGCTGCGAGAAAGCCTCCAAGTCCGAAGAGAAACACGACGCTCACCACAGCAAGACAAGCCAGGACCCCTCCTCGTTTGAGCGATTGCGGATCTTTTGCAGCCCATACCCTTTGCCACATCCCCTCGTTGAACATAACTGAGGACATGAGCGATGCTGGCATGACGAGGATTGAGCTGTATCCCGACTGATTCGGCCCCAGTGATTGTTTCAAACTGCCGAAGTTGGGCGGCAGCTCCCGTTTGAAGGTGGCAGCAACATATATACTGATGGTTGTGATAAGAACGACGCTGGTGATGCCTTGAACCTGATCCGTCACGATCGAAACCAGAAGTCCTCCATACATGGTGTATACCTGCGTGATTTGTTAAGCCATCCGAGAGGCATGTCAAACAAGGTGAGTACCGTCGTAACGGTGGCTACAATCAGAATGATTGGAAACCCTTCCGTGCCTACAAAATCGCGAAACAGCCCTCCAATGGTGGTGAACTCAGCAAGCATCATGACAGCCATATTGATCAATGCCACCCCTATGCACGCCAACTTAGCTGTGGGTCCAAACCTGCAGCTGGAGTAAGATTGCAGGCAAGACGTCGGAACGAGTTCAGATGTAGACCTTGCGGTGATGAAATCCCCGAACGAGTTGACAGTGGGGTACTTGGATTGCACCATGCTACCGAAGTATGACTGCACGATGAGAGGAACACCAGTGCCTATGGCCATGAAGATCATTCCGATCCATCCAGCATAAGTAGCGTAGTTGGAAGGGCTGGTGATACACCAGGATCCAACGCTTCCAGCATAGAAACTCCATGCGATTCTGTACATCCCCTGTGACTTCTTTGCTGTCAAAAATCCTTCCGAAGTTTGAAGCAAATGGCTGGTCTCGGACGAGCTCTTCAATCGCAACTTTGTATAAATTACAGCGTACAGCGCTATCGACACCAGAGATGTCACAGTCAACGCGTATGACAAAGCTACCCAGTCAGTTGCCATGGTGTATGAATTCTCCAGATCAAACTTGAAAATTTGCCCAGCAATTCATCAAGGTAGTGTCTTGCCCCTCGGTCAGCCCTAAAATGGTGAACGCAATCAACACATGCAGGAAGCATGGACCAATGACAACCCAAGGAAGATTAGAGCAAGGGATGTGTTCAGTGATAGCAGTCTAGATAGGAGGTGTACAGATTGACGTATAGCCACAATGCAGAAGAAACAAGTGCATAAAGATACACAAGATAGATCTAAAGAGGCGAAGGATCATGGTGGGGCAAGCAGCAACAGATGAAAGGATGGGAATGATGAGATCAGGAGCTCAGAGAGGAAGGAGTCATCTATGTAGGGATAGAAGGAGTCATCTATGTAGGGATAGACGGAGTCATCTATGTAGGGATAGAAGGAGTCATCGATGTAGGGATAGAAGGAGTCATCTATGTAGGGATAGACGGAGTCATCTATGTAGGGATAGAAGGAGTCATCTATGTAGGGATAGAAGGAGTCATCTATGTAGGGATAGAAGGAGTCATCTATGTAGGGATAGAAGGAGTCATCTATGTAGGGATAGAAGGAGTCATCTATGTAGGGATAGGAGGGAGAGAAAACTGCAGAGAGAGCGGACAGGAAGAAAGTGAAGCAGAAGAGTTGGGGAGCAGGAGGAGGCGAGCAGCGGCTTTATTTTCTTTTTTGGGTTTTACACGGGTCAATTATTTGAGTGAGATGGTGCTTCCAGATAGGGGTAGGGGTCCTCAGGGGTACTCTCACGGTACCAAGTGACTAAGTGGGTAGGGTTCCAAGACCCGCAAAGACAGGCGCAAGGGGGGTAGGGGTGGATTATCAAGATAATCTTGTGGCATGTCACGCCGGGGCCCGGGGAACTGAAAGGTAGCGAGTCCGCCTCAAGTCCCCTGTAGCAGTTGGCAAGTTGGCGGACCCCATGGTAAATTTCAATCAATTTTCACGCAAAGCTCAGCAATTTGGGGCGACACCTTGAATTTGACCCATCCTTACCCTCATATGCCCCGAATTTTAATACCAAGGGTGGGTGCTTTTAAGCAGAAAATTCTGAAACATGACCCACTCTTGGGCAGAACATTGGAAATTGTACCCACCCTGTGGAGATTCTGAACTTCAGGTACCCTACTGTCTGTCACCGCTGATTTCTCGAGAACAATACCGGTTCTTGATTACCCTACCCCTGGTAAAACACTACCCAGGATCAAGCCACCCCCGTCGGCTCCCTTCAGTTCGAACGCAGGGATCAACGGTCGTTACCCCGTACAAACTTCCGGCTCGCCTCAGAATAATACCCCTACCCCCTCCATAGAGCGGTCCATGGGGGGTTTAGGGACCCCTGCCCCCCTCCACCTTGCGCTTATGGATCGAGTATGGCCTGGCGGTCGGGAGAGGGAGAGAGAAGGGAGAGTTGCTTGATGTCTCGAGCTGCCTCTAAGAAATATCGGGAGAGATTCTCAGCCTCACTGGCCCTCTCCTTCCTCTCCTTCCTCTCCGCGTCTGAATGTCGCTCATATGATCTTGAGATATTTTTGTTGCCTTCCCCTAGAGATTGCAATTGCTATGCCTTAGCAGTTTTTGGCGAGGGAAGTGAAACCTAGAAGCCCGCGTTTGATGGTTGAATCTAGAAGATCTTTAGATTAAGAAGAGTGGATGAGCTAGAATGGCTTTATCATTTGCACAGTTCTGGCTGAAATGTGAAAACTTATCCATGTATCTAACAAGTCGTGGATTACACATTTTTCCTGATGTGGTAATGATGCATGTTCTTGGCAGATTCGGCCCTTACATCTATGAGATAAAGTGGGTTACATTCATTACTCGAGTTTCTCGATCGGAACAGCATTTAGATACAACATCGTACGTTGAAGTCTATGGGACAAGAATTTTTGTTGCCTGAAATATAGGAACGGACATCGTGAAAAGGTTTCATCATCGCACTCGACTTGTTTGTGCACAATGGGAAAGCTTGAAGAATATGAAGTGATGAAACTTCTCGGGAAAGGATCTTTCGGATCTGTTTACTGCGTTCGTCGTTTGGCGGTTTGTTCCTTTGGGGATGTGGTTTCAGTTGATGACTCGTTCTTCTAAATCAGGATCGCTCTCTTCATGTTATGAAGAAGATTTCGATCCACAACATGCCTGCAAAGGAAAGGACGGCCACTGAGCAGGTAGACATAATTCATGCATGTTGTGCAGGCTGCAGTGAACTTGTTGCCAACAGGAGGTCAAGGTTCTGCAAAGACTTCGACATCCTGGAATAGTCTGCTATGAAGATAGTTTCATTCACAAGAATAGACAGGTCGATCAATCTCTCATATCCCTGCTTGTTCTGAATTGCTTGATTGCAGCTTTGTATCGTGATGACCTATTGTGAGGGCGGGGATCTCGCTACTGTCATTGAGAAGCGAAGGATGAGGGCTTTTCCCGAGAATGAAGTACTTGATCTTGATGCCAGCTGTGTTCATTGGTTTCTCCTCTAATGCTCCTTACTTTTACAAGGTCGTCAGTTGGTTTCTGCAAATTGCACTGGCACTGCAGGTGTAGGATGTCGTGAGCAAACCGTCTGAATTGACCAGATTTTGATTGACAGTACATGCACGAGGAGCACATTCTTCATCGTGATCTCAAGACGCAAAACATCTTTCTTACACGAAACAACATCATCAAGGTTTGTCTTGCCATGATGATGGCTCTAGACTATTTTGGTAGCTTGTTAGTAAGGATTCTCTCTGTTTCAGCTCGGTGATTTTGGGATCGCAAAAGTTCTCGAGGGAACTTTGGAAATGGCAAAGACAGTCATTGGTACGCTAGTGAACGCTGGATCAACGTGAATTATGAAGCTTATTGTATGGACTCCAGGAACGCCATACTACATGTCACCTGAGCTTTTCCGTAATCAACCATATTCTTTCAAGGTGACCGAACGACCTGACACCCAGCGAGATTGGAAATGACCAACCTGTCAGTCTGATATTTGGTCGTTGGGGTGTGTTCTGTATGAGATCGTCTCTCTACGACATGCATTTGAGGTTTGGTCGATTCACCGTCTCAATTATTGTAACTTGCAATCAGGCTCGAGACATGAATTCATTGGTTCAGAAAATTCTGCGGGCTTCTTACGGTGAAATCATCTGAGATTGTTTTCATGTTTAATTCTTCTCTGTCAGGACCAATTCCAGCCACAGTCTCGAAGGTCTGCGCTAAGATCAGAATGAAATCTCTATTCATGGTTGATCCAGGAATTGCGATCGCTTTTGAAAAATATGCTTTCTCTATCACCACAATCCCGTCCCAGGTAATAGTCTTATGGATTCCCGTGGTATCGGATCCAACGCGTTGCACACAGTGTCAACGAGATCCTTGCTCTCCCTTTCATTAGGAAGGAGATGGGTGCCTACGTGCAGTATCAGTTGGGTGACGATTCAGGTCCTTGCAGCTGAAAAACCTTGAAATGAGCTCAATATTACGCAGCTGCAAATTTGCTTCGAGATGACCCCAAGTTGATGGGATTCATTCAACAAGAGCAGGTGTACTCGATTTTTCGTCAGCCATCAAGGTGACACTGGAATAGAATCGTTTGGAACAGCAAGCACGAAAGCTTGGGTTCGATATAAAGAAGAAATCTCACAGCGGTTCTAGTTCAGGTATTGACTGATTTTGAATTCTTCCGCTCAAAGTTCCAGTAGGAGAAGTGGAGTTCAATGACGGCAACAAACCGAATCCTCCTCAACCAGACCAGAAAGCTGAGCAGATCCTGGCGCGGGTAATCACTTCATTTCCGTTTCAAAGAATCCCGAAAGCTGATAAGAAGTTGCAGAAGCCGACACCCAACTCATTGCCGTCTGCTGCAGACGCTGAAAGGGTGAAGACAGGAATGGTTTTGACATCCAACATTGCTCTGAATCTGTTGTGCAAGATCCGCATGGAAGAGAAAGAGAAAGACAGAGTCAAGCGCGCACAGGTTTGATTCATTTCGTTTTCACTGGGGATTTCTGAGTTCTTGATAGGCTTTCCTTGAACGAGAATTGAGAGCCAAAGAAAGAGCAGAAGCAGGTGGATTAGTCCGCAGTTTTTTGACCTCCAAACTCGTTAACTTTGCTGCAGCCTTGCGACAATTGCAGAAGGAGAAACAGGACAGGATAAAGGCTCTTCAGGTCCTTGCTTACCCTCTTTGCTAGTTTTGTGAAGAAGGGGTTGACATGCATTACAGGAGCAAAGAGAGCTCCGAGCCAAGAGGATGCAACAAGTGAACAAGACGATCCTTTGACTTCCTTGATCCTCATTCCATGGCTCAGGTTCATCCCAAAGGCGAAGCTGGTCTCATGAACGAGTGGCAGGTGCGTTGTACTTTCGAAGTTGATGTCCGGTGCAATCTCTTGACGCATCTGAACCTGACACCATCAGCATCGACTGCAAGAAGCTCAGAAGAAGCACGAGCAGCGAAGGAAGGAGATGGGGATGGTTGCCCACCTACGTCTTTGCTGCTTGCGGCTGACTGTCGCTCAGGTTCCTGGGGATCATCGCCCGAAGCCTCCGTCCAAGTCAAGGCTGGAGGAGGTTGACGCGAGGGGTAGAGATGAGGATGTCTCATGCGTCATGCAGCAACCGAAGAGGAGCATCCTCGAGCAGCGAAACGTGAACGCAAGAGAGCGGGAAGGGGCACCGGTACCGTCTGATCCCATCGATGAAGCATGCAGTCACCAACGATGCAGATTCGCCGGGTGGAGGAGAAGAATCAGATCGTCGAAGATAAGGAGGTACAACCACGCGAGCTTGCAATGTTCGTTCAAGTGATGAGATCTATCAGAATGTCAAGAATGTTGTCGAGAAACCTAGCTCCCAACACAATGTACAAGGCTATGGAGCCTCTCTTGAAGGGAAGGTTGACGACTGCATGCAGGAACAAGTCATGAATGCGAACCAGCAACGAATGAAGGAGCAGGTGAGTGAAAGCAAGGCTCGTGTTGACGTGCCTGACTCATCAGCAGGCGGAGGTTGAACAGCAGAAAGTGGATGCGATGAAGCAGGTAAGCCCACTGCCCTGATCTGCTTACTGCAGAAGTTAAGAGCTCAACAGAAGCGAGCTGAGAATGAGAAACTGCGCGAAGAGATGAATCGCGACATGCAGGTAAGATGCTTGCCCTTGCTGCGGGAATTCCTGATGGTTCCGGAAGATGATGGAGATGAAGCTGAAGCAGCTCAAGGCCAAGAAAGATGCTGACGAGCGCATGAAGGTGAGCGAGTATTTCCGTGTCCTCCTCCTCGACCTGGACCGCATCCTTCTCCTTCTCTCGCTCTCCTGGTCTCTTCCTCGTGCTCCATCTGATGGAACCTACAGCGGGAGAGGATGGCGCTGGCGAGGCAGAGGCAAGATAGCAATGCAGCACAGGTTCAGCAGGTGCCCACCTGAGACCTGCTGACGAGGACTTGCAGGCTGAGCAGCAGGTGGTGCAGAAGGAACCGCAACCTCAGAGGGTTCAGAACGTCCGGGACGTGAACCCGCTCTCCTCGCGGTCTTCCGCTGACGTCGACGAGTCGATTCAGACCCCCGCGCCCTCCCACGCCGCCAACGTCTGCAAACCTTTCGGAGTATGCGAGAGCTTCCTTACCCCAGCGCAGCTTCCTGCACGCAAGGGCATCGTTCCCGCGCCTGTTCCTGACGTGCAGCAGGCGGAGAAGGTATCGTCCTACCCGCCCTCCTTGCTCTGTTGGGGTTGACGGCACAGCAGGGCCCTGAGTTTCGCAAGGACAAGTATCAGGACGCAAGAAACAGGTGCGAAAGGAGGCAGGAGAGGAATCTTGATCTCTCTAACGCCCTTGCCTTCAGACCGCAACAGCCTGTGCGGTATGTCGACAGCCGCGCCCCGCAAGCTGGAGAGCAGAAGGGAGGGTACAGGTCGATGCCCTCCCCCTCCTCTTCCTCCCACTTCCCCTCCTCTTCCTCCCCCTCCCCCTCCTCTTCCTCCCCCTCTCCCTCCTCTTACTTGAGCGACAGGTACATGGTGGAGAAACCTCCTGCTGTGCAGGTGGATCAGATCCGATACTCAGGTGAGTCACATCTCCCTCGACCTCTCCTGCTGATGCCAGCACCAGAGCCTCACTTCACTCCTCCTCTCTTCGCTCCGCCTCCACATCCTCCTCCCAACCGGCTTCAGGTGAGGGGAGGGAGATGGGAAGCTTAAGGTTGGAGGAGTTGACGCAGTGTAGGTTCTACACACTCCTGTCAATGGCGTATACGGGAACAATGGGGACTTCTTTGGTGCGGATGGCATCGGTAGGAAAAAGGCGATGGAGTTGAAGCTGCTGATCCTTGAGCAGGAGCAGACTTGATCAGCAGGCAGAAGGAGCTTGACAGAATGCATGTGAGTGCGAGGGAGAAGGAGAAGGAGGCAGGGAGATGGTGGGAGGGGTTGGGGGGCGCGGGGGGGGGGGGGAAACTTCAAGATACACTTAATAAAACAAGAAACAAAAAAAGCGAGAAATGAGGAGGGCCAGGAAATGAGCCTAAAGAGCCTGTTGACTTAACGGTCACACAAGATGGAGTATTTGACTCATTCGATCTCTTCGTGGTGAGAACTGGAGGAGGGACGAGAACAAATCA